GACACGGCGGAGGAGAAATTTGTGCCATATTACGACCTGTTCATGCCGTCGCTCAAACACATTGTGGAGAACGCCGTGCAGAAAGAGCTGCGGCTGCTCCGAGGGAAAACCATCGAGTGCATCAGTCTGATCGGACTCGCTGTCGGCAAGGAGAAGGTAAAGGGTTAAATCAGAGTAACGGGATGTTTTCTACACCAATATTTTAATAATGCAGGGATGATATTTTATCTTAAAGTCTATTCAAATCTAACAGTGAGGCTTTCTCTGCCTGTCAGGCTTCAAACATTGACCTTTTCTTCTCTTGGTCTTGTTTCAGTTCATGCCAGACGCCTCGGCCGTCATGCAGCTGCTCCTCAAAACTCAGACGGACTTCAACGACCTGGAGGACGACGATCCTCAGGTCAGAACACTTTGAGATCTGATTTGTCCGACTTTGTTTGATGTTTTTGTACCTGGTCCTGATGTTCCTGTCTCTGTGGGTGTGTCGTTTAGATCTCGTACATGATCTCGCCTGGGCCAGGATGTGTAAGATCCTGGGGAAAGAGTTCCAGCAGTACCTTCCCGTGGTGATGGGCCCGCTGATGAAGACAGCGTCCATCAAGCCTGAGGTGGCGCTGCTCGACAGTAAGTACACTCCAGCGGTGAAATAGTGATTCACATTGATTTAAAGATGCAGTATAACTCCCTGTTCATAAATATAGTCCCATAACTGAATTAAGCTCCTCCTCGTTAATAAAATCCCGTTGCCTCATTACTTAAATGCATCAAAATTAATACATCCAACATGTATTCACACATCAGTCTTGATTTATTTTTGTGCGTTGCTCTTTCAAACCCCAAATAAGTTCTTCCTCAGTTGTTTGGCATGCATGAAGTCAAGCTGATACACTTGCAGCGCCCTCTGCTGGATTACAAAGCAAACTGACGTGTGGAGATGCTATGAAGTGAGAGAGCCACACCTTACTTATGTATGTGTGTGTTGTAGCTCAGGACATGGAGAACATCTCGGAGGACGACGGCTGGGAGTTTGTGAACCTCGGAGACCAGCAGAGTTTTGGGATAAAGACAGCCGGCCTGGAGGAGAAGGCCACCGCCTGCCAGATGCTGGTGAGTGACCCAGAGCAGCAGGGGACATGAACACATACATGTCCTGAGGTAGATCTGTTTATCTATATATCTGGCTGTCAGTGAGAGGATCTGTGTTGTTTTGCAGGTGTGCTATGCCAAAGAGCTAAAGGAAGGTTTTGTGGAGTACACAGAGCAGGTGGTGAAGCTCATGGTTCCTCTGCTCAAGTTCTACTTCCATGATGATATCCTTTTGTGCTCTTCGAGGTCGTTTTAACTTTGTCTTTAAACTATTCCATTAAACATCAAAACATGTCACACAAGATGAAAAGAGTTTAAAAAGCTTGTAGAAGTTAGGTCAGGGTAAGAATGTGAAATTCAGAGATGATAGGACGAAGAGCTTCCTTGACTTCACTCACGTGTTCGGGTGGCGGCCGCTGAGTCCATGCCTCTGCTGCTGGAGTGCGCGCGCGTCCGAGGGCCGGACTACCTGACCCAGATGTGGCACTTCATGTGCGACGCTCTCATCAAGGCCATCGGCACCGAGCCAGACTCTGACGTCCTCTCTGAGATCATGCACTCCTTCGCTAAGGTAAAATGAATTCTTCACGTCCTCACAGAAGTCGATTCCTTCTCTCAGTCAGACTTTGACGTCGTCGTCGTTGTTGTTTCTGCTTCAGTGCATCGAGCTGATGGGAGACGGCTGCCTGAACAACGAGCACTTTGAGGAGCTGGGCGGCATCTTGAAGGGAAAACTGGAGGAGCATTTTAAGAACCAGGAGCTCAGACAGAGTGAGAAGAATTCATCACAACATTTCTCTGCTTTGATTCAAACATTGTTCTGTTCATTTAAGATGTAGAGTATTTCTATCTTACACTGAGTTGTCTGTGTTTCCTCAGCGAAGAGACAGGATGAGGATTACGACGAGCAGGTGGAGGAAACGCTACAAGACGAGGTAAACGCTGCCGCTTGTGTAGAGTCGTTTGGTAAAGACGGAGTGAAATCTTACAGATGTTCACTCCTTGTTTTTGTCTCCTACAGGATGAGAACGACGTCTACATCCTGACCAAAGTGTCGGATATTCTGCACTCGGTGTTCAGCAGTTACAAAGAGAAAGTGCTGCCGTGGTTTGAACAGCTGCTGCAGCTCATCGTCCAGCTCATAGTGAGTACTGAAGTTTTTATTCTTTGTTACAGACTCACATTTGGCCACTAGATGGTGCTAAACAGTCATGTCTTAAGATACTTTTCTTTAACAGAAGTTCAGTTTTTTCCTGCCTTGAATGTTTCATCAAAGTAAAGCTGATATTTCAGATATTTCTGTGACCGTGCGGTTCATGTGCGACAGCAGCATCACTGAATGTTTTTACACTCAGTCTAACGGACTCACCTGGTGTTCAGTGTCCTAACAGGCCGTGGGCGGACAGGCAGTGGGGTCTGTGCATCTTCGACGACGTGGTGGAGCACTGCAGCCCCTCCTCCTTCAAATACGCAGAGTACTTCCTGCGGCCGATGCTGCAGTCGCTGTGTGACACGAGCCCGGAGGTCCGACAGGCCGCCGCGTACGGAGTGGGAGTCATGGCGCAGTACGGAGGAGAAAGCTACCGCCCATTCTGCACAGGTACAGTCCAGCTTCTCTCTCGTCACCTGTGACGTTTCAAGACGTTTCCGCCTTCTCGCTAACTCGACCTTTGTGCTTCAGAGGCGATCCCCATGCTGGTGCGAGTCATCCAGGCAGCCGACTCGCGCGTCAAAGAGAACGTCAACGCCACAGAGAACTGCATCTCTGCCGTCGGGAAGGTCATACGCTTCAGACCCGAGTGTGTAAACGTCAACGAGATCCTCCCACACTGGCTCAGCTGGCTGCCGCTCAACGAGGACAAGGAGGAGGCGGTGCACACGTTTGACTTCCTGTGTGACCTCATCGAAAGGTATGACAGCCCTTTTTTTCTTTTTTTTTCTTTTTTTAAAAATCTCTGTAGAGTTTAAACTAGAAAAATGAACAAACCCATCTGATCGTTTGATTCCCTTCACAGCAACAACCCGATCGTCCTCGGACCGGACAACTCCAACCTGCCCAAAATCTTCCTCATCATCGCAGACGGAGTCGCAAATGAATCGGTGAAGAGCGAAGACGCATGCAGCAAACGGCTCGCTAACGTCATCCGTCAAGTACAGGTGAGCCCCTCCCGAGTCTTTTCTGCTTTCCTGCTATCTCAAAGGTTTATTTTGGGGCTTTTTATTGCCGCTCAATGCCGCTCGCTTGGAGGACTAAAGCCTCCGTTGCCCTCACCATAGTTTAAGTACTGCCCCGCTCATGTTCAGATATTGACTGTTGTGGTTTTGTCCCTCAGGTGTCGGGAGGATTATGGACACAGTGTGTATCGACGCTGAACGAGACACAGCAGAGAGCCATACAGGACCTACTGAACACGGCCTGAGCCCCGTCACCTCCCTCTTCTCTTTATCAACAAAAAAAAAGCCCATGAAGAAGAAAAAGTCGAGCCCTTGGACCGCCCCCATAACACTCCCTGTCCTCCCTCTCGCTCTGATCAGAAAGTCGCCGGCTTCACCCCATCACCACCCCCACCCAATCGTTAAAATAAAATAAAAAATCCCTGTGCGCCGGGGGGAGCAGGTCGGATATTAAAGACGATGGAGGACTGAACCATCCACCTCAAAGACTTTCACCCTGAACCTGAGGCTGCGGGGACGAGAGGAAAGTGACCCCGTCCTTTCATGTGTCTTTATCTGGACGTTTTGTTTCCAACCATTCCCTGATGTTTGTCTTCCACGTCGCCCCGTCAACAAACTCATTGGACAGTCGGGCTCAGGGGGGGGAGTGGGAGTGGGGGGGAAACAGGGACATTTAACGGACTGATTTGAACGACATGGAAATGCACACTGGGCGATCACTGCCTGTCTCCTGTGAATCTTTTTTTTTTGTATTTTTATTTCTTTTCTCGTTCAGTGTTACCTGGGTGGGGTGGGGTGGGGGCGGCCTCTAAAAGTAACGGCATGTTAAGTGGCTAACTCTAGAAAATATAAATAGTTAGGAAATTTACATCCTCGTTGTCTGGGAGATCTGATTTAAGCAGCTTTTTCCTCCATAGCCTTCCAGATGTGTTTCTGAAAATGTTTGCTGAACGGTTCTCAGCCCTTAAGGTAGCATTGTAAAAGGGGGAGGGGCTCTAAGAAAAGAGCAATAAACCTGTGTAGTCACGGCAACACAGCATGTGACACAAAGGAGGAAACATGAATTGTAGAGTTTCTGTAAAATGCGTGCTACCATACTCTTAACTACAAGGTTTTGACCCCTTGCAGCCCCGCAGGTTTGTGATGGAACTCCAGAAAATACCAACAATAAAATTCCATTTGAGAAAGTCGACATTTCAGCTACTTAATTCACTAACCTGAAGAAATGTGTTGCAGAATTTCTATTGGGTTTTCTTTCCCTATGTTTTTCTCTCTGTCTCCTTTTCCTGAGGAAGGAAAAATAACCTTTAGTTCAGTTTTCAGATATTTTAAATCCACTTCACCATGTTCCTCTAACTCTATGTCCCTAGTGTGTGTCTACAAACCTCCATCCTCCCTCCTTTCCGTCTTCTGCCTGCTCAACTTTTCAGAAAATGTGCTCAAACAGGCCGTTTGGAGATTTTCCCTTCATGACATCACAAAGGGCAGTAGCCCCTCCCACAGCTAGGTGTTTGTTCTGCCCTCTGAGTCTGCCTTCTCACCGTAAACAATAGGACATGGAGCGAGAAAGCACAGAGTACACCCGAGCCCTTCCAGAGAGGGGGCGTGGTCAGACACAGCTCATTTACATATTTAAAGGTACAGACACAGCCTGTTCTGAGCAGGGCTGAAATAGAGGGGTTTATAGACAGAGGGTAATGACCTGTACGCATCATTCAGACACTTGTAGACGGAGAGCATCAGTTTGAACAGAGCAGCCATGCTTTATTTATCAGGACATTAAGACCAACAACAGCAAAGAAACATTTAAATTAAAGCTCTCAACCAAACAGTCGTGGAGGATGACGTGGTTCCTTCTGGAGACGGCTGCAAAAACGAGTTCAACAAAAAAAACCTAAATATACTCAAGCATGTGGTACAGTTAGCACACTCGGTTAGCAGTCGTCTAGGAGGCTAAAACTAACAGGCTAACACGACAAACCCTGCAGGAAATCTTCTCTTGAATTAGCGTTAAGTTGTCTTAGTATTTCTTGCAGGGCTGTTGCGTTAGTTTTCGCTAAGAGTGATATACAAACTGGCTTGTATTTAAGAATGGAACTATCTCCTCTGTACACACAAAGAAAGCATTCAGTTCATGTGAAATCCATTTTTGGGGGGTTTTTAAGTTGGCAATTTGACTCCCCAGACCTGCTGGGAGACACCTGGCGTGGGTAAAATGAGTCAGTTTTCTTCAAGCAAGGCAGTGAACCCTCGAATGATGATGCAAGACTGTCGGTTTTTAATGTGCTAGACACTAGATTTGCACCGTTAAGGCTAAATGAAAGTGATTCTCAAAGACCAGCTTTTTAAAGATGAAACAAATACCCGAGGATTGTTTTGATTTTAGAGTCAGAAAGGCCATGATGAAGAGAACAAGCTCACATACTCAGGAGGGGGCGAGCTACCGTTGAACTTATCGTGACTACACACAGAGGGCGATTGTGATCCTTTTTTTTTAAGCGTCTTAACTTTCCCCGACAAGATGATGGGTATTTACAGTGGCGAGGACGATCTGTACAGGCTGGTCAGAGAGGAGGTGTGAACGTGCCAGGAAGAGAGAAATGTGTGATTCTCAAAGGACAAACAACGACACAGTCTGCTTCTCCCTTTCATTCTTATATAGTCTTTCCTCACATTAACCCCTCGCTCGTCTTCTACTGGAGCATGTCCACGAAGGCGTCAAACTCGTCAATGTTTTTCTCGTAGACGGCCAGTTTCTCGGGCAGAGAGTCCTGCAGCAGCAAAAAGACAAAAATGAACTTTAAATGACCAGTTTTTTATCTTTGGGAGTGAATGTGGGTTTAAAGTGAAGAGTGTGTTACCAGGTCGTCTGCCATGGACTGAGAGCTGATGTGCAGAGAGAGGCTCGCCAGCTGAGGAGGGTTTTGAAACTCGCGGTAAAACGTTCCCAAATCCATCGGCAACAAGTCGTCTTTAGAGAAGGCTGGACGCTGAAACACGGACACAGACGCTGGGTCAACATGCAGAACTTCATTTCTGGGTTTGTTCTGACACTGAAACAAAACGGACGTTAATAATACGTACAAAGTCGATCATGACAAAGTCGTCCTGTGGCCCTGATCCCTCCGAGCCCTGAGAGTGGAGACTGGCCTGCAGGGGGGAGGGGCATGGAGGAGAGTCTGGAGGCTGCACCTGAACACACACACACACACACACACACTGATGTTTACATTTTCCTTTCTAGATACAAACAAAAGACTTCTGCTTTATGAAGAAAAGATTTTTAGTGACAAGCGTAAATATCGCTCTAAATCTTACCATGGGGTCATTGTCCTCGGAGTCGAGGCCTCGAGGAGCGAACGCAGCAAATGGAAGATCCAGACTGGCTGCTGTGATCTACACACACACACACACACACACACACACAGGAACACACAAACATGAAGCTACAGACCGTATCTCAGCTCAGAACATCACCTCAGATTGATGTTACTTTGGAAAGAAATGGAATATGTTCGATGTACCTGTGCGCTGGGTTTATTAACAAACGCTCCGACTTTCCTCGTGAAGGCGTTGAGCGACTCCACGGGGTCGGAGGGAGAAACACTCCTCCGTACTTCGTCCCTGCGTCCCTCGCCGCTGTTCGACAGACCGTCATCATCACCGCTGAGGAGAGAGACGAGACGCTGTCACGTTTAATCAAATAATAACCTCGATGTTTAGTCCTCAGAGTAAATCTACGATGTGTAATGTGGCTCATTCATACATTTATTAAGAAAACAGTCATGAAGAAAGGTTTCTCACGTACTCTTAACGGCCACATTTACCCGATGTGAATAAAAAAAGAACTCCGATCACATTTTAGAGTAAACTCGACGTAAAGCGGGAACCAAACAAGACAGAAATGTTATTCATGCTAATCTGAGGAGATGAGGAGAGAGTTACCTGCTGCCAGGTGTGTTGGGGGCATGTTCTGCGGTCAGGTGGGCATCAGCTGCATGAGGAGGCTGCGCAGGAACCAGCACGACCCCGCCCTCTTTCCCAGCATGCAACACCTGAGGGAACAGAACACAGCAGAGTTATAGCACATAAACGAGAAGAACATTGAGATAAGTCGTTTAGAGTGTTTTGTTTTTTTTACCTGGTTTGGATTGGCAGTGGGGTGACAGAACTCAGCAGCTCCCCCTAGAGCTGAAGGCTGGTATGACAACCTGGAAGCGTAGAGCTACACAGAGAGACAAAGAACGAAGAATGAAAACGAACGAAACACGATGGATGTGCAGAGTCACACTGCATGACATGACGCTGACAAGTTAAGGCTCAGCGCTCGGATCTGAAGGAGTCTGAATGGAGTTCGGGAGGACTTAACTTAAAGGCCACAAAATGATTTTAACATGGCTTACATGGACGTGAATTTGACTTTAAGGTTCTCACTCGTCAAAATGATTTCTGTCGGAGCTACTTCACATAGATTTGGTTGTTAAAGGCATCAGAGGCTGTAAAAGGTTAAAAACTACAACTCCCATGATTCAACGCTACCTAAAGACTCCAACAAACTAAATCTTTTGCTGCAGTTTTAGATGAAAGAAAGCAGCAGAAATGACACCTTAAACCTCACTTATGAATTGAATCTCCCTCTCTCGTTTATTTCTGATGCTCGTCTTTTGTTTTAGGTAAAATGAATGGCGTCTCTGTGAGTCAGATTTGAGAGCGCTCGCCTCCTGAAAGATACATTTTGAAGGATTGATTTGGATCAAACTTAATTCTAAGATTCTGGTTAGTAAATAAAATAAATAATAAAAAGGGTTAGGGAGTCAGACGGGATCAGAATCTGGAGATCTGCGTTGATGAAATTTGAAATGAGTCAGACAAGATGGTGAAAATAAAGTCTGACACATCCAGGAGCGACACACACACACACACACACACACGACCTGGAGCGGCACACACACACTCACACGCTCACACACTCACACGCTCACACACTCACACGCTCACACCCCTAAATGAAAAGATGAATCTGAGTGTTGTTCATTAAGAAGTGAATCACACACGCTCACACCCTCACAGTGGCCAGCAAAGACTCACAGTGTGAGTGACAAGTCCAGGAGCCAATGGAATCTGCAGACTGTCCAGGGGGAGGGGCTTAGACAGTTTAGAGGGCGAAGGGCTCAGTGTGCACACGCACTGAGATAACACGCACACACACACAGACACACACAGATACAATAAAGGAAAACAGACAAAGAGAGAAAATAGAAATGAAAACAGAGAAGAAGTTTCAGGATAAAGACAGAGATTAAAAAAAAGAAGAAGAGGAGTAAAGGTGTGTTTTTCTTACCTGAGAGGGAGGGGAGGTGGAGAAGGAGGTGGTGCAGACCTCCTGTGAGTCCTGAACGCCTGCAAACGGTCCTCCGTCGTCCTCATCTGGAGCTCTGCACAAACACACACATTTAGAATATACAATCCATATTAATATATATAAGGTTACCAATACATGTCGACAATAAACAGGCCAACTGGAGGAGAGTGAGCACGTGGGAAGGGCGGGCCTTAAAGAGACAGCAGCTGGAATGAAGCGTTACAGGCCGAGGCTGACCTGAGGGATTTTACTGACGAGGTTTTTGAGCTACACGTCTCACAACACAGCTCAACAGGTATCCCAGACTGACATCACTAATGCTGAAAATAGACCTCCTTTAAGGTGGGAGTAATGTACTCACCTGTAGTTGCAGGGCTGTCCCATGTTTGCAGGTCGCTGGCCGCTGCAGGGAGGATCCACAAAGTGATCCACGATGATCCCCATGATGGGAGCCGACCGCTCAAACTGTCTGCAGAGGACAGAGGACATTTTGAAGCACAAACTTCTAATAGGTCGATGCATATCTTTTTAAAAAGACTCATGTCACATCTTTTCCTTAATGTATCTTATTTCTTAGTTAGGCAACGTGTCCACTTAGCGTTTTTGTCTGAGGGCCAGGGTGTCTTTGCAATTGTTTTGAAGCTAGTGGACACAGGGCCTAAGACCTAGTGTGTGTGTGTGTGTGTGTGTGTGTGTGTGTGTGTGTGTTACCTGTTGGACATGAAGGCCAGGTTGGTGCGGTACGCGCATGACAGTGTGACTGTGCCCACGGGTGTGCCGACAACACCGACCCGCACCGTCTGAAAAGCTGGAACGCAAACAATTCATTTATTCACCTTAATCTCCACATCAGCTGAAGTAAAACAGTGAATATGATTAACAGTGAATTACTGACTCAGCCATCATTAAAATGAAGAGGTCGTGTTATGAGTTTACAGTTACCTTCTCCGAGTCCACTCAGCTGGACTTCCCCAAAGTAAATCCTAGAATCAAGAGAGACAGAGATGGTGAAACAGGTTTCACATAAATTGCATGAAGAAGAATGTCAAGGTTTGAGAAGGAAACCCCAAATGTGTAAAAAGCGAAGGCCATACAATCGATCGAGTGTTGTAGTGCAGCTGTTTGCAGATCAAAGTCGGCTTCACTTATTTGGAGGTCGGTTAAATCAGCTGTTTGCAGAGATGAGCACTGACCTGTATAAAATGACGTAGTCATGTCCCTGCTTTCTGGACAGTTTGTAGGCGGGTGTTACTCTGGTGATGGCGAGCAGAGACTTCAGCAGGACAGACAGACGGTTGTAGACCGTGTACGACACCTTGATGTCCTTATCACACCTGCAGAAAAAGAAAAACAAGTTTTTTCTTGAGAGAAGCTCCTTTTCTGTTTCCTGTGATACTTTAACTCCCCGGTATCCATTTTTCATTCCTGTTTCTTTCTTTAATTGTAATTCGGGGAATGTAACGAGATCTATCATGCAAAAAGAAAATGAGAGCAGATTTCACTCACTTTTCGTTCATCTCCAGGCACCAAGTCTCCAACTCCATCGAGTCTCCCTGAAATAAAGAGACAGAAACATTGATGCAGGGACAGTAACGTCCACTGAAATCAAAATGTACAGTTGTTTGATGTCATGGGAAGTGGTCTGCCTTCTGTTCAAAATGTATGAAATCCTCTGACACGTACCTATCATGACATATTTCTTGTCACCAAGCTCTCATATTCCTGACTTTCTGTTTTCTAAACATCTGATATAAAAGTCCCTGAACAGCTAAATGTCATCAAAGTGAAAAATAGTTCCATAAAAGAAGAAAAAAAAAAAACAAGTAAAGCAGAGAGTTCTACCTCCGACGTCTTCAGGGAGATCTCGACGCACATGGAGCGTCCGATGCCGGGGAGTTGTCCGGCCAGCGCCTTCTTGGCTTCATGAGTCACCTCGGGGATGTCTTTGATGGCTAAATTAAACTAGAAAAAGACGAGAATTCAAAATAATAATCAAAATCTCTGAGAACACCCTCGTGACCCAAAGCATCCACTGACGAATGTTACTTATATGTATTTATTTTATGGGAGATCAAGGTTCTTACCTAACTTATGGGGTAATGTTCTTTAATGTCAAGTCATACTAAAAGATAAAAGAATGGTTTTATTCTTTACCCAATCAGATCCTGTCGGTGATGAGGATGAGCGAGTGCAGATTTTCTCTCCAAGGCGAGCCTGGACGATCACCTGGACTGTCTGCACACAGGACAAAAACAAAAATCAGATCATCTTCATCTATATCTACCTTCTCTGATCATATCACATCAAACACATCCAAGTTAAAACACAAATGATGCACCTAATTTAGTCTCATTACATAGTGCTCATTAAGCTCAGCTCAGAGGTAAAATGATTTTCTAAACATTACTGTTCACAGAGCTCAAAGATTAAATGTTCATCTTCCTCAAGTTATATGAATAAACTTCATTTATTTTATTTAAAAGTAAAAGCTCTTCATCCAGCTTTCTGTGTTTAATTTACTCAAAGAAACAGCAGTCTGATTCATTTATTATTTAAGTGCAGTAACCAACAACTAACCACCAGGGGGCGCTCTCTCCATATAAAGTGATTTATAAACGATAAAATACATTTATTTTAATTTTTATAACTAACCACCAGAGGGCGCCCTCTCCATATAAAGTGATTTATAAACGATAAAATACATTTTAATTTTTATAACTAACCACCAGAGGGCGCTCTCTCCATATAAAGTGATTTATAAACGATGAAATACATTTATTTTAATTTTTATAACTAACCACCAGGGGCGCTCTCTCCATATAAAGTGATTTATAAACGATAAAATACATTTATTTTAATTTTTATAACTAACCACCAGAGGGCGCCCTCTCCATATAAAGTGATTTATAAACGATAAAATACATTTTAATTTTTATAACTAACCACCAGAGGGCGCTCTCTCTATATAAAGTGATTTATAAACGATAAAATACATTTTAATTTTTATAACTAACCACCAGAGGGCGCTCTCTCCATATAAAGTGATTTATAAACGATAAAATGTATTTATTTTAATTTTTATAACTAACCACCAGAGGGCGCCCTCTCCATATAAAGTGATTTATAAACGATAAAATGTATTTATTTTAATTTTTATAACTAACCACCAGAGGGCGCCCTCTCCATATAAAGTGATTTATAAACGATAAAATACATTTATTTTAATTTTTATAACTAACCACCAGAGGGCGCTCTCTCCATATAAAGTGATTTATAAACGATAAAATACATTTATTTTAATTTTTATAACTAACCACCAGAGGGCGCCCTCTCCATATAAAGTGATTTATAAACGATAAAATACATTTATTTTAATTTTTATAACTAACCACCAGAGGGCGCCCTCTCCATATAAAGTGATTTATAAAAGATAAAATACATTTATTTTAATTTTTATAACTAACCACCAGAGGGCGCCCTCTCCATATAAAGTGATTTATAAAAGATAAAATACATTTATTTTCAACCTATAACTTTTAATTAGAGTCTTACATCATTGTTTGGTAAATTATTTATATTAAAGCTGCATTTTTACATTAAACCTTTTCTTCTTAGGTTTAATTTTACTTTTCAAATTTACTTTTTAATCAATTTAATTAGTTTATTGTCGTTTGGTTTTCTTAATGAAAATACCACAAACCTTTTTATTGATTTAATTGAAATGATCAATTTAATTAAAACTGCTTTTTTGATTATGATTAAAATATTTGATATGAGTACATCTTACAGCTCATTGAGCTAATTTAGATTAAACATAAATTAAAAGGAAACATTTACAAGTTAAAAGGGTTGTTTTAAAGTTCTTCTTCCTTGCCTTGATTTTATTAACTTTCATATGCTCATAACTCTTCTTCACCTACCTTATGTTCTCGATTAACATTCAAAGATAATATTAAGTCCATTGATAATATCACAGATCAATTACAACTCTGAATATATATCATATATATGTATAAAGCATTTTCTTTCCCTGTGTTTAACATCGATCTAAAATTGTTTTCTTATGGTGTCGCTACATCTACCTGACCTGGTTTTGTCGAGCACGCTGTTCTTAGTCAAGTCAAAGTTTTATTTCTAGAGAACATTTAAAACAACATCAAAAGTGCTGTACAGGTTTTTTTTAAAAGCCAATTAGGAGCATAATAAAGTGGGAGTAGACCCAGAGCGCGCTGGAGGGATTATATATCCCGTCTGGCCTGGGAGCACTTCGGGGTCCCCCAGGAGGAGCTGGAAAATAGTGCTGAGGAGAGGGACGTCTGAGGGGACTTGCTTAGCTTGGGACGTCCACGAGCCTCTGGTGTGTTGACCGCAGAGCTCAGATAAACACGGCAGTATTACATTCATATTATTATCATCGTACTGCTCTCTTACCTTCAAGGCAAAGAACTTTATGAACTTGTCCAGATCTTTCTTATCCTGCGGACTCAGGCCACTGTCCATGTTTTCACGAGCCTAAAATTAAACAGATCAACATGTTAAGAGACGAACGTCCACCACAGCAGCTTCAAGTGTAAAGTTTGCAAAATAAACAGCTTTTACTGTGAAAGTAACTCGCTACCCGATCACTTCTAACTTCATCCCAGACATCACAGTTTTTAACAGAGTCACTAAATCCTGGTTAGTTTAGCAATAAACTTCTAAATCCTACCCACAGTATCGTACAAATACAGTGCCCCGAGGTGTTTCTTCTTTTGCTTTCTATGAATAGTGTTAATGTAGTGAGTAAGAGGGGAGAGGACTTCCATGTTTTCATTTCTCTATTCGACTGTGTGTTTAGGGAAATCTGTGTTTGCTCTGCGTAGTCTGTTGTCTCTCGTCTGGTGCCGTATGTTTATGATTCTAAATTCTGTTTAGACTGTACTGATATAAAGGCGTTTTGATTTGCAGAAGCTTCCAGGAGGAAAGCGGTCATCTTGTCCTCAACTTTGAGCCAGTGAAGACGACTGTGCATACGGATCCTGTAGACCAAGCACTGCTCTGCACCTTTAAGAAAAAGCTAAAGACCCAGCTCTTTCATGAATACCTACTAACTTAAAGATGATGGTCTCCATATTATTGATGATGATGATGGTAATGACGATGGTTTTTGTTTGATAACGACGACTTATAAGATGGTTTCTATACTGATTAGAGCTCTCAAGAACTGCCCTCAATGCTGTGCTTTACCTCTGGTCACTTCCTGTCAGCACCTGTGTGTCCAATCAGACTCAAAGCTGATCGTTTGCTCTTACTCACATTGTTCCCTTTTTTCTAGATCCTTGCTTGTGTTGTTCTTACTCTCTGATGTACGTCGCTTTGGATAAAAGAGTCTGCTGAGTGAATTGTAGAATAGTAGACTGTTCTTTACCTGCAGGCTGCTTTAATCTTAAAATAAGAAAATCTTTATTGTCACTGTACAAGTAGAACAAATGTGTTGGAGCAAACCTGTAAATACATAATAGAAGTAAATAATGAACAAAATACTTCACCCAAAATACACAGAAATAAAAACATGTAGAAATAACAATAACATTAAATTATAGAATAACAGGTGCTGAGCTAATTCCAGCTTTGCAACAATAAAAATATTATACACTTAATGTGCCTAACATGTAAATAAATAAATAATGACTATGATATTTAATACTTTCACAACACAGATCAGCTGATTCTGAACCAAAACAATCATTTAAACAGCTGATTTGTGTTGCTTTAATAACGTGAAATTACACGTTTACAACCTGCACACTGTGTATGATACATTAAAGAAGCTTTTAGCTGCAAACACAGAATAATAAGAAGGTTTTATAGAATTAAACTTCGAGTAAAGTGGCTGTTTGTGTGATGAGTTAGCATGTGAGGCCTCCACGTTTACATGAAATATCAGAGTTAAAAATGGAAGTTATAACAAACTACAAACACTGACAACTACTTTAAACGCTGCTTAACAACCTCTGGGAGATTAATAATGTTTAACTTGATTGTGTTATTAATAATTTCTCGACATAAGAGGGTCACTGAGGAGGTGACTCCCTGGTCAACAAGCGTTAGCCGTTAGCAACCGTTAGCTTCATACGACACACTTTATGTTCATAACAAAACAGTCAAACTTACATCCGCTTTCCCCTTTACAGAGCAGCTCCAATAAAACGCGACTCAATCGTGAAAAGACGACATGAAATCACGTGTTTAAGACGCGCAATTCTCGATGTTTTACAACGACAACAACGGCTGCGCTACTTTCTGTTTATCTTCTCCATGTCGACGTGTTTTAGTCGATTGCAGTTTCACGTCGGCACTTTCGTTACTTTTTGTCGTCCGGCATATATATTAAAAAAATAAATAAATAAAAATAACTCACATAGACTGTAAATATTAAGGAAACGCCACGCTAAGCGCAATAAACCAAAAAAAATGCGAGGTATTTTTTTAACCAGTAAACAATCATTTAAATATAAAACAAGCGCGCTTAAAAAAAAAAAACAGTGTCGAATCTGCGAATGTGCGCAGAAAGCTGCGTCTACTTGTGTTTTGTTTACAAATGCTGCACGACTTCTGTAAAGGTAAGAGCCTTTTTTTGTTTTGTTTTTTTTAAATTAAAAATGCAACATTAAAGCCCAAACTTTACTCTCGGTTCATAGACATTTCAACTAAAATAATCAAAAGACTTTTTAACAGACTATTTAAAAGCACAAACAACGTTTACAGCCATTTTTAAAGGTAGTTAGCATGTTAGCTTCACTTGATTTTTAATACAGTAGTGCAGCAAAATATCAAAACATGACATGAAACACACTTTATGTGATACATTGAACCACAGTTGTGCATTTTGTGCAGGGATGTGACAGTATTTGCATTTACTAGACAATTTGCAAACATGTTTTTGGGGATTTGTGTGTGTTTGTGCACTTTGAGGTAAATCATTTCATCCTGTGTATTTGATTTATACCCTCAGAATGGCGATCTCTATAGCCATCCTGGACTGTGACCTCCTCTTACATGGCCGAGGACAAAAAACCCTGGACCGCTTTGACCTGGACTCTGTCTCCGACCATTTCCTCCTCTCACAGTTTGGCTTCCCCAGACATTTCATCCTCTACCTGGTGGAGTTACTCAGAGAGGTGAGCCTGATTGTCACCTTTTAATAGAATAGAATGACTTTATTGATCCCAAACTGGGAAATTGTGGCGTTACAGCAGCAGGTTATCGAACACACAATATGAGTAAACACCTCCCACCCCCACCAAGGACTGTTTTCGCTGCTGGACTATGGAAAGAGGTTCTGCAGCCTCCGAAGCAGAACTTCCAGGTTCTGTAACAGCTTCTTCCCACAGGCCATAAGACTTTTGAACAGGAAAATATAATCCCTCCATTCCCCCTCAAACCCCCACACAGGACTACCTCACTGGACTGTAAAACACAATATAACGTGCAATATATTTATCTGTATAGTATTTTTACTCATAGTCTTTCTTTTTATATCTATTTATATCTGCACCTTATTTTTATTTTTTATATGTAAATACTTGCTGCTGTTTTTATCCTGCACTACAACGAGCCAAATGCAACAAAATTTTGTTCTTATCTGCACTGTAAAGTACAAGTTTGAATGACAATAAAGAAAGTCTAAGTCTAAAAAAAAGGAAGATTAAATGTAAATGTGCAAAAACAGAGTCGTAAATGGACAGTATTGACATAAGTTAAACTGCATGAGTGTAGACATATTATCAGCAGAAACTAGTCAATATAACGGGGAGTAGGCAGACAAATGAAGTGAACATGAGTGCAGGGATAATGTGCAGAACAGATTACAGTACGGAGAGACAGATATGATCATGATGAATAAACACATTGTTAGAAATCCTCTCTGAATGTATGTGTGTGTTTGTGTGTCAGGCTCTGTGCAGACGTACCCAGAGGTCCAGAGCCATCAGTCCTGAGGTCCAGGTGTTGGCAGCTTTGGGTTTCTACACGTCCGGCTCTTTTCAGACGTCTATGGGAGATACTATCGGGATCAGCCAGGCGTCCATGTCCAGATGTGTGTCAAACGTGACCAAAGCCCTGGTGGAGAAAGCTCCTCAGTTCATCACCTTCAACAGGTATGAAACCATCTACTGCTATACACTTACAGATCGACACATGTCAAATGTTTAGCCCCACTAAGGCTTATCTGTGTGTTAAATGATAGAGGTAAACAATGTCTCAATGAAGTTTATTAAATTATGTTACATCATAAATAACTGGGCTAAAAATAGTTTTTACAGAAGTAAAGAAGGAGTGCACAAGTCATCATCATGCAGAAGTCTGTCTGCATCCTCTTAGATTTATCGAGATTATCTCTACTATGATGAAATCTGGAGCTTTCATAACTTTCTTTCTGACATATGAAAATACAAGTACACGTGGACGGACAAGACAAGCCAACATCTGGCTCCAGTAAATGCATGTCTGCTTGGATGGAGTTATTTTTAAACCTGTGCTTTATTTTAAAAATGATTACATCAGAGACCCCGCCAGCAGAGACCAAAACTTCCAGGAGTTCCAGAGGGTTGCAGGATTTCCAGGAGTTCTGGGGGTGCTGGACTGTGTTCAGGTAAAGTAGATTCTAATACTTGTGAACACTCTGCATGCAGGCGACCTCTCCTCTCTCACCTCTTCTCTCCTCCTCCTTCTTCAGGTGACGATCAAAGCCCCGAACAGCGAGGACTTTTCCTTCGTGAACAAAAAGGGTTTCCACTCTGTGGGCTGTCAGCTGCTCTGTAACGCTCGAGGACTCTTACTCAGTGCAGAAACGTGGCCAGGAGGACTCAAAGACACGGAGATTCTGGAGAGATCCGCTCTATTTAAACAGCTGCAGGACGTCGAGGATGGCTGGCTGCTGGGTGAGTCCTGGATTTCAGTCTCTCTGATTTCCTGTCAAATCTAAAAAGGTTGAGAAAATGAAAAAAAGGGGTTGTCTCTGTTTACCTCCAGGCGACTGTCGTTACCCTCTGAAGAAGTGGCTGATGACGCCGGTCGATAACCCAGAAACCCCGGCTGAGTTTCAGTATAATCTGGCTCACACGACTACACATGAGATTGTGGACCGGACCTTCAGGGCCATCCAGACCAGATTCAGGTGTTTGGACGGCACCAAAGGATACCTTCAGGTACTCTATTGAGCTCTGTTTCATTCTGCTGGATCAGAGTGTAATAATGATGTTTATGCATAAATCAGATGGGACCATTGTGACTGTTTTGAAGTTTCTTTTTTGTTTTCTTAGATAAAAAAGTTTCAGATTTATTTAACTCTGACACCTAGTGTTTAAAAAGTGTATTGCAGTCCAAATTCAAAACATTGTAGAGAGCTGTCTCCCTGATATAAAAAAATAACTGAATAAACTGAGAGCTTGTTCTCCTCATTTAACTACCTCATCATCTCTCCTCTGCAGTACTCTCCTGAGAAAAGTTCGGCTATCTTGCTCGCCTGCTGCGTCCTCCACAACGCCTCCCTGCAGTCCGGATTGGACGCCTGGACTCTGGAGAGAACCGACCCTCTGGAGCAGCCCGAGAGCCTCGAGCAGAGACCCGAGGACCGGGACAGCCATGCGGAGAACATGCGGAAACAGCTCATACTCAAAACAGCTGATCTGCTCTCTGGGGCGTCAAAGACTGAACTACGACTGTGACCAGAGTTAAAAAAAAGAAAAAGTCACATTTAAAGCAAAAGAATCCACAGACACGGCGTTGCTGATGCAGTTTTTTAATATTTTGCTGGTTTCTACTCTACGGACTACACTAAGATAACATAGTTGTATATGGAGGAACATGCAAGACGCTATACAACAAACCAAGACAACAGGTGAACATGTCACATTTCAAATAACACCCTGGAACCCTACAATTATTTAAACTGTGTGCAGCCGCCGTGTTATCGCAGTTCCTTTACATGTGGAAAAAGTCTCCCTCCCTCCTTTTATGTTCATTTTTTAAACCCTCCCACCCTCCTTAGATCCGCCTTTACCCCACTGATTGTTTTTTTCTTTTCCACGTCATTCAACAATCTCACAATACAAAAAACAAAAACAGAAAAGGCCCTTATTTACAACAACTGCACATTTTGTTGTCATTATTTATGTACACTGGTGAGTTATGACTGTGAAAGGGGGATTCCAGTATCATGTTTTTTTAACCTTTTGTACATGTTGGTGTTTAAATCACCGATCTATTCACACTGTTTCTGCAGACGATTGGTTCAGCCTGCAGCCGTTAAACGAGCTGTAAAGGCTGCAAAGAACAACCGCTAATGATTCTTGTTTTTAAGAATGACTTAGAGTGCTCAAGATGTTTGTTTTAGTCTTTGAAACATCCGTTATATCACTTTATTCAAAAACACCAAACTCCATTGACAAAATTAGCGATCCAAAAGTGGTGATCAAGACGTGAGCTAATCCGACTTTTTGGGTTTTTTTTAACCAGGCTGTAAACATTTTAATTTCAGCTTTTTTGAATGGGTGTGTATGTGACTTCCTGTGCTTCTGCAGCCAGCCTCTAGTGGACACTCGAGGGACTGCAGGATGTTACACTTTAGCATCAGCTTCATTGTTTCTGAAACTGTTTTTGTCAGTGGAGTCTGGTGGTTAATCAATTGTCTTCCTCTGTAACATAAAGGTCTCTCTCTGTGATATTGTCACTTAGACTTACTCATTGCTTCCGACTAAAGCAACTCCAAAACATTTTAGCTATTTTAGTCACTAACTCATTGAAATCTATACATTTGTAAACGTGCAAAAAATTGGGCCGAGGTTGAAAACTACCGGAACTCCCCTTTAAGGATGAGAAACATTGGGATGTTTGTGCTGCGGGCTGCAGTCACAAAAACATTTAGACATTTTTTTTCAAAAGGGACACAAAATAAAACTCGTAAAAAAAAAAGAACACAATAAAGAAAATCTGTGACTTTCAATACAGAACACTCCCAAGTATTCGTCTTTACAAGTTTGGAGATGTGAAGGAAATGAACATTTTGTAACAGTCGTTTTCTAAATCTGTCAGAAAATCAAAGAGTAAAGTTCCTTCAACGTGTGGAGATAATAAAGCTAGTGGTTTTTTTTAAATTCCTGGAATGTTTTTCGTCTCCTGATTGGCTTCATCAATATATACACACTTTCTACAAACAGGAATAAATACAACACACACCGCTGTCGCATGAGCTCGTCCAGTCAATTCATTTCAAATACAAGGGGGGAGAAACTACATTAGGTTCATTCTTTTAAGAGTCTGTGGTCCATTTTTGGCGTTGTCATAGCAACAAAGAGATCAACCTGAGGGTCAAAGTTGAAGTTTGTTTAACTTTAAAGGAAGGGTTGGTCATTTTCTAAAACTATCATGATTCTGAAAGTAGCATTCCCTCAGTGCTCCGTCTACAATAAACAACAATTTCAACCAAAATCTTAAAAAGTGGATCTGGAGGAAATCACCAACCCTGCCTTTAAGTGGATTAATTTAGTATTTCATGCGACAGCAGTGGAACAAACACTGTATTACAGTTAAAAGACAAACAGATCAAAGTTTTACATCCATGAAGCAGCATGTGAACGACGACACACCATCGTGTAAAACTTCTTCATCCTTAACATCACAACAGACACTTCCTCTTTTTTTGTGCATAAAATAAATATGCTCTTTTCTGATGCTCACAATATATTATAAGACGTATTTTTAAGGTTTTTTTGTAAACGTTATTTAGAAAAAAAACAAGACATTAAGATCGACTAATCTTAAAAACATTTTTTTTTGTTGCATAAATTAAATATGCTCTTTTTTTTTGATGCTGCAAATATATTATATGTACAATTTATAATTCCATAAAAAATACTTTTTATGTGATGTTTCCCAACAACCTCTGTCAGGACCCCGTTGACAGTCCCTGGATATGAAAATATGGTTTCCCCGTGGAATGATGCAGAAGTTTGATTTGAATTCAAAGACAGAAAGTAAATTTAACTTCAGAGACGGATGAAAAAATTAAATTAAAGGTCACATATTCTGAAAAAATCCACTTCCTCATGTTCCTCTAACTCTAACATGTGTCTCTAGTCCGTCTACAAACCCCCCAATGATGAGAAAAGTCCATCCTCTCTGTCTTCTGCCTGCTCCACTTTTCAGAAAATGTGTGCTCAAACAGGCCGTTTGGAGATTTTCCCTTCATGACATCACAAAGGGCAGTAGCCCCTCCCCCAGGTGGGTGACACTCCCACAGCTAGGTGTTTGTTCTGCCCTCTGAGTGTGCCTTCTCACCGTAAACAATAGGACATGGAGCGAGAAAGTCAGAGACACCCAAGCCCTTCCAGAGAGGGGGCGTGGTCAGACACAGCTCATTTACATATTTAAAGGTACAGACACAGAAACAGTCTGTTCTGAGCAGGGCTGAAATAGAGGGGTTTTGAAACTTATTTAATCTGATTGTTGAAGAGGAGGAGAATATGTGACCTTTAAAGAATATTACATCATTTTGTTTTTGTTTTGTCGTATTTCTCAACTGCAAACACATCATCAAACAGTTTTAGTTAAAGGTTCAAACAAAGTGCATTCACAAAAAGGTCATATAAAATAATGTCCACATTCAAGGTGTTTATGATTGTTTAAAAGACACGAGACGCAGAGTGATTCGAACTACAGGTGAGTCGGCGTGTGTTGGCTTTTCATTTAAGGCCAAGTTGGTCTGAAATCAGAGGAAGGCACTTTTAAAATGGCACCGCTGTCTTTTTACAAGTATGTTGTGTTCATTGTGTGCTCTTACGATTACTATGATAAGAGACAGCTAATTAATCAGTTACGATGTTGATCATGTTTTCAGAATTTAAATCATTTATGGAGAAAATACGGCAAATACTGTTCAGTACATTTACAAGAATCCCACAGTCGAGCTTCTGTGTTTCTCTCAACATTAAAACAACAATGAGCAAATTAATGGTGCGTTCAATTTACCTCCGAAATCAGATCTCGATCGGTTAGTGAAGATTCTCTGAGTTTTCAAGTCGGACTGCGTCTTCAGGGGAGTGTTAATGATGACGTTTCAGACAGGAAGCTCAGAGTTTCTGATCATTTTAAATATTTTAACACCTTACATGACGTGTACCGTCGTATCTTCTTGGAAAAGGTCTGACTAGTTTTTAGTGATGAATTATGATTCTTAAAACGCTACAGGCTGCTTCTGTGTAATCAAAGATCTGTGGTTTTTATGTGATGACTACATGATTTAGTCTAACTGAGAATTAGGGTGAAATCCTCCTAAAACTAGAATGATAAAAATATAAATCCCAACATTGTGGTCTTTTTAAAATCCAGTATTTTCAGGTGAGAAGTGAAGCACTACGTACGGCAGTGAGCCGGCTGTGGACGATGGGAGGACGGCAGTATCTGACAGGAAGTGGAGTACGTATGATGATGCAGGTTTTTGGTCCAGTTGGATGTTGATGTGAAGCCGTCTGAGTTTAGGAATCTCAAGGTTATTGTTTTGGGGTCAGAGATGAGAAGTCGTGAGAGGAGGAGGAGGAGGAGGAGTCAGACGGGGTCAGAAAATCTCTGAGACTCCTTCTGCTTTTGTTTCTCTGAGGAGAGAAGAGAGGGTTAGTGTTCAGAGGAAAACATTTAGGCCTTTCACACGTGCACAAAACTCCTGAAAACCTCCTGATAGTTTCAGGCTGAGCTGCATGTGTGAACAGCCAGATCAGGAGGATTTCAGAGTGCATGTGTGAAAACGGCTATAAAGAGATTTCATTATTTGGAGATTTCTTCTTTACCTGTGGTCTGATTTTGGCTCAGTCGTCTGGTTTCTCTGCGTCTCAGCTGTGTATCTGCTGCTCTGAACGTGGGAGTGGGTTTCAGACTGCAGCCTGTCGCCCTCCAAAACCTCCTCCAGAGGAGACCCTTCATCGTAGAAGAGCAGGCTGCGGGAACGGACTGAAACACAAACACACACGCTGTCTCATTCTCGTGTAGCTTCACCTGCTTTGAAACATTTATGTGTTTCTTTCTTTAAATTCACAACACACCACTGTAACGTGAATATTTTGATGTCCTACCCTGACTGGTGGTGTAGAGGTCCGCTGACTGAAGAGGAGCGGAGGAGGGGTGAGAGGAGGAGGAGTCAGAGGACAAAGAGGAGGAGTCAGCGAGGAAGGAGAGAGGAGAGAGGCAGGGGGAGAAGGAGCCCAACACCAGGACAAAACACACCGCCATCATCTGCAGAGAAAACACAGACAAAACATGTGAAATGAATCAGAAATGTCACCAGAATAGAGCCAAACCACGACTGAATCACTTCTGAAGATGCATTTGTGCATCAGAATATAACTGTCAGTCTTCCGTCACATGAGCCAGTTCAGGTGGTCTGTTTTCTAAAAGGTGGCCTGAAGTTGTGCTTACAGCATCTCAGTCTTAAAACAACAGATGACAGAGATTATTTACCATGAGGCATGTCCCCGTTTGAGTTGAGGCCATTTTACAAGCACGAGGGACGACTTTCCCTGAAATCAGCGACTGAAGCTTCTGGAGCTGCTGAAGGAGAGACCTGATGGGACGGGAAAGAGGGGGACAAAGGAGTTAAATTCAAGGCAGAACATTCCTCCTCTTTTATTTTTCTTTATCTGAATAAAGGTCCAGAAAGAGAACAAGTTCACTGTTTAAGGCTTTGACCTAAAAACAAGAATTTAGTGAATCACTTTGATCTGGAGAGCAGGGCTCTGATGGTTAAACTGACAGTGGGTGTAATGACTCAGCCTGACCACTAGGTGGAGACAGAGAACCAGCAGCAGAGAGCAACTAAACCAGACAGTTAACTGGTCAACAGTCAGTGAGTCTGTGATGTTTCATATGAAGCAGAATAAACCACACGATGCCAGCTGTAATAAACTTTTTTATGGGTCGATTCTGACCAGCGTCACTCACGCCGCACTTTGAAGTTCCACCGCAGTGATTTACAGCTCAAGTTGTTGCTGCTTTAAATAAACCGTACTCACAAAGGTCACGCTGGTTGACAGGGTGAATGTTTTGGTTTAAATATCCAGAACAGAAGTGGAAAAACTAAAATTAAATATTGAATTCAGACAAAAGGATTATTTTGAGTTTGTTTTTTGCACGTCTGCTGAAACTCAATCCTCGTTTTCGTTGATATTTTAATGCCAGATGGAGGTGGAGATAGCACCAACGGCATTAACCTCATTTTGTTTAAACTTTAAAATGGGCGTGTAGAGGAGGAAGCACGATGACCACTAATAACTGCATTTTGAGCATTTTAAATTTAGCTCACGACTTTGAAAACTTCACTCAGCCGGCACAAACTTTTGGATTTTCTGAGAGTGAGCGTGCTGACTCATGTTCCCCAGTTTGTGCCAACTCATTGTTCCCCTGTGTGGTGGTTTAACATATTCATCAGTGAGTGTGTGAGTGTGTGTGTGTGTGTGTGTGTGTGTGTTAAAGTGTGTGTGTTGTGGGAAGGGAGGGGGCTGCCTTCCATGATGAAAGCTGCTGTTAAATCGTAGCTTTAATGACAGACTGAGGCCGAAGCACACACACACACACACACACACACACACACACACAGACAGACAGACTCAGAGACAGACCCCCCCCCCCTCTGTCCCGACACACCCACCCACCCTCTGGAGATAATAGCACATTGGTTTCATATTGTTATAATAACAGAGCTGGATGAGTCTACACGTTTCTTTTGGAGCAGACAAATTTCTGTTTAGAGTCTCATAAATCTTTCTCCACTTATAAACTGCAGACAGACCTCAAATAGCCGCATGTTTAACCTGCAGGAGAGCCACTTTCTCCTTTTGAAGTGTTCACTTCTAAAAGTCAAATGTTTCACTTCTTGACGCCTGAAATCCTCCTGACCTGGTTGTTCACACATGCACCTCACAGCGGGGGACTATCTCTGACAGACAGGACGACAAAGAACCAGTCGTATTACAGGTCGCCTACTAATGGAGAATAATGTCTGATAAAAAGTTGAAAATAGCTCTTGGTCTTTTAGTGGAAAAAGAAAAGAAGAGGCGGAGGCGACTAATGAGGAGAAACCGCACTAATGGGTGAAAGCATGGATACTACAGCTGCATGCTGCAGGCTGTTCACACAATGTGTGTTTGTGTGCGTCCACTCACCTGTTGGCAGTCTCCAGGTTTTCCACTTTCCTCCACAGGTCGCTGTTTTCTGACGTGTAGTTTTCCACCCTGAGACACACAGACAAACGCAGAGCTTAGAGTTAGGGTGTCATGCATTCACTGATCTTCACGCCGATAAGAAATAACCTGCCAAAGGGTCACCAGCAACCAATTTCCCCAAAAGACGGTTACACATAACTGCTATGTGGCCGTGCTCAGTTTGTCCCTTAAATGGTGGCGACACCGAAATAGGTTTGTCAAGATCTCGCTTTTTAAAACGTTGTCAGGACTTCAGTAAAAATCCAACAATATTGATGTCTGTTTTGATATCATGGCAACAAAACTTGAGGCCCTTGGCCCCCAACATTAGGTAGCTTCTTGTTTTCAGTAACCAGAAATAGCAGGCAAACCCCTGCACTCTGCTGAACAACGTTTCATTTAGTTTTCTTCAATGTAGACTCTGCAGGAGTTTAAAAACACATTTTTGATAACTGACCTTTTGTAATGCCCCGCCCTCACCAGGAAGTAACCCTCTGTCAAACCCTGCCCTCCATAGTTACTGTTACTAGGTGAGACAAAAGCTCTTCCCATTTGAAACGAGGATTTGAAGGATTTGAATTTATATTTAATCGATTTGATTCTTTTCTAAACGTCTCCTCAGTGAAAGAATGAGGACGGGGATTAAGTAGGGCGTATGAGGAGAACTCTAAATCTCTAACAACTTTTTAAAATCATGTCTGATGCTAGTGACAAGGACCAATCAGAGAGCCAACAACGGGTCAATTGGCAAATATATAAGTAATAATATAAGTGCATATGAGTGCCTTTTATTTATGTTGTGGTATCAAAACATGTATTCATAATGTTTGATTTTTACTTTAATGATATCAAAGTTTAAAATTCTTGTATCATGACAACCCTCGATGAAGATGCACTTACTTTTATAATGATTTAGAAGTCTTTAAAGTATAAAAAATGCATCTTTTGACTTGACAAATGTCCCTTTTGTGATCTTTACAGCAACATGTATCAGCGGGAGGAAAAAGGTTCTGCTCCTCCGCTCCTCTTTGTTCTCTCCTGCTAATCTCATTGATTTCTATCACTAACTGGACATCGTGTTAATCTTGCGCCCCGTCGCTCTGGTCTCCTCCTGTGTTTGTTTGAAAGCAGATCATTCACACACATTCCTTTGAGGAGCTCGTCCTGTCGCCCTCTTCACAGATAATCCTGTCCTCGTGTGCGAAAGAGGAAACATCAACACAAAGAGGAGATGAAGAAAGAGCGGCTTTATGTGTCTTCACCTTCTGTTACATCTGTGATCCCAAAGTGTGGATTAAAAAGATCCAAACTCTTGATGTAATGCTCCCATCCCTGGATGTAGTTACCACCTGTAGCTGCTCCACAAAGACAAGCCCACATTCTCCTCTCTCTTCTTCCCTGAATCTGCCGCATGTGTTCAGCAGGTTATTGGAGTCTCGCCATGTCAGCTGACGTTCACAATAACACAGAAACGATAAGGAGTTTCTGTCCACTTTAAATGATGATCCCATGACGACCTGTGAGATTTGTTTCTTCCCCTGCAGAGAGCTCTCATGTCTGTTACCACACTCAGCAGCTCCATGCGGCTTAAAGAAAACCGCGAAATAGAACAAAAAATGCCTCCTACGGGAACGTCACCTGCCAAGTTCCAGTCAGCCTTTCACATCTCTATCTTTTCTCTCTTTTGTTGTTCGCATTCTTCACTCTTGTGTTTAAAAAAAAAAAAAAATCACAATAATGTAAAACAAGGCCTCAGGGGAGACTTCGTTATCCAACATCGCTGCTCTCTTTAACCAGCTCTGCATGGGTCTGTAAACCTTTCTGTGTTCTAACCTCTCTCCATTTTTCAAAAGCATCTCCAATATTGATCCTAGTTTGAGCACGTTTCTGCTCGTGGAGCTTATTAGAAACATGCAGAGGCTTTTTAGGTCGGGTACAATCACTTCTATCTGAACCACTTCTCTTGACCGCTTCCATCGCTGCAACACCTGTTGACCTGATAACTGCTCTCATATCTGGCATTTTTGTTCATGACTGCAACAACTAAGTGCTCTGAATGATCTGGAAATCTGATTTGAGAGCTCGGCTGATATACGATAGCAGGGTTACTTTGAAACCTTTTGATGGACTGTAATGAGGAAAAAGAAAAAGGTTCAGACATCACTGAAAGATGCGAAGGTAAACCGACGGGAGTGGAAAAGGAAAAGGAAAAATGGGGACGGAGATCGTTTCCAAGCCTTACTTCTTCTCCAGACATTCCACGTACTCCTTCTTCTTCCTCCGACTCTCCTGAGCTGAGATCTGTGGAGGAGAGCAGAAAATGATAACAAAGGTAAAGAACCTGTTTGAACCAGGAAGTTTGCACAACGATCTCTATTTCCAAACTGTTCTTCGTCCAATGCATGCATATAGATCTGCTCAGATTCGATGCAAATGCAAATAGAGGTTAAGTATTTCAGCAGCATTATGATTTCTCGTCTGCCTTTAATTACACTCTGATGGTTAATCTCTCTCTGAGCACATCTGCATTGTTTACCTTGTTTTTAATCTTCCGTCGGACCCTCTTCAGTGCCTTCTCTTCACTCTTGGTGAGAGGGAGTTTGTTGGGGACCGGGTATCCCTCAGCGACCAGGGTCCTCTTCTCTTCTTCTGTCAGCATGAGGGGTCCTGAGCCCTGCAGCTTCTGCACCATCAGACAAACACTGCATCTTATTTACCACCATTTACAACTTTATTGCGTTTATAATTAGGTTTAAGATATCACAACTGATGAGCGCTGAGTGGAGATGCTTGATAGTAACTTTTAAAAACTAAGAGAGAGCAGAAAATCAGAGGCAGCATCCGTTTAAACTTCAGGATTATATCTCCTATCGCGGACTGTCTGAGCCCCACACTGAGACTCTCAGGCTTGTAAAAAGGTTTGTTGTTTCGCCATCCAAACGTGCACACCTTTACCTGTGCAGACAACTGTTTCTTACACCCTGCTGGTTTGGAAATATCTCAAACTGTTACATATAACCAGAGTGGAGTTATTTTTACAGATGGACTCTTAAGTTTCGTTTTCAGAGATGGATCCTGCTCCGCTGTGGAGCAAACAGGGAGGGTGAGTCGTGTCTGTGTAGGAGCATAGACTGCAGCGTGATAGAATGAACACTGCGGCCCGGTTCAACTGTCTCTCTTCTTCGGCAGATCGTATCTTAGATCGTCTAATCGCACACCGCTACTGCAGGACGCCGACTCATCAGCTTTTCTTTTGAGATATTCAGCTGTTTGCGGTTTTCTTTGCAGATTATTTTAATGCTTGTAAGATTTCCCATCCGAGTCACGTTTACTTGAAAAAGCCCTAGGTGAATAAACACAACATTGAGCTGTTCCACTAACTCGGCCGTGTCTAATCAAAGTTAACTCTGACCAGGTCTGAATCATGTTTTGAAAAGTGAAGGTTCATGGAGTTAAGTTGAACTTGTTGCTCTCCCTCAGGAAAAAAAAAAAAAGAACCTCTCATAAAAATTCCCTGAAAGAAAAAGCTTGTTTTTATTTGGATACTGTGTGTTGTTTCCAGAAAGATGTGTGTGTGTCTTTACTCACATGTGGAGCTGTGAGGAGAGGTGAAGAGGAGATGGCCGAGGAGGAAGAAGTGGTGGAGGAGGAGGAGGAGGAGGAGGAAGAGGCTCGACCTCCTGGCCTCTGTTGTGGCTGTGGGGAGGAAGGTGGCAGAGGGAGGTGAGGGGAGGAGGGAGGGAGGGAGCCGTCACTGTCGCCATGGTTACTGCTGGGAGGAGTGGGTGGGAGCTGGAGAGCGTCATCTGGAGGAGAGGAGGATGTGGAGTGAGAACATATCTATGGAGTCTGAAACATTCAGAATGTTTTTGTCGCATGTCGGGGGAGTAGGAAAGATGACTCGAGGATTTGGAGAGCACTTCTGGCGAAATTTTATTCAAGCTTCTGTTACGAGCTGTTGAATACGTTTTTTAAAAAATGGCAGCTTTTAGTGTTGCATTGGTTCATGTGTTCGATCAATCAGTGTATATATTTTCATTCGAGGTTCTTTATTGCTTCATTAAGCGTCGTTTGGGATGTTAAACGTAAAAGAAATCCCTCAGCGAGCGTCCGATTCTGCGTGATGTGAGGGTTGTTAGAAAACAGCTACTGAGGTATTCATTTGAAAGTTTGAGGGAGAAAAAGGTTCACTAATAATTTGTTTACAGACTTGAATTGGACTTTATTTAACTTGATGCTTAACTGTATTCTTCTTGATATTTTGATCATGCTTCATTGAACTATTGCATGAAAACAAACTTCTTAAAGGGGCTACATGCTACATGGAGAGCACTGAGTTCTTTGACCTTTGTGTGTTCAGTGTTGTCTGTGAGACAGAAGAACAAACTGTACGATGTTTTTAAACTGTGTCTACAGTAAGCAGGGAACATCTGTGCTGTATTAGGAACTCAGAGGAACAGTACACCGGGAATTCTGCAGGCCAGATCACAGCTCACCGACAGTGCTGTCCTGCTCTCACGGTCTGAATCTGTTCAGTCTTGAATCTGTTTATTCTCCAGTGATGTATTTGCAGTGTTAATATTTTATGTTCATGTGTTTCAATGTGCCAAAAAGAGGATGTTTCATTCATGAGATTGTGTTGGTGTGTACCGCTGGGCAGGCTGAGGTACTGTCCCATCTCTCTGGGCTCGTCTTTTATGGCTTTTGGCTTCACATCGTCTGGACTTCGCTCCTACGGAAACAAAACAAACAAAGAAGAACCTGACTTTACAACGGACCGGTCAGAATCGACACATTCAGCGATACGTTATTTTTCGACTTCATGCTAACCGTGTGTTTCCACGCTGATCCTCTGTGTGGAGGGGGGGGGCTTAATATGAGGGGCGGGCCTTCCTGAGGCTGAGGGTCTAATCTTTGAACCACTTCGGGCTCCTCCTGTTTCACCAAGATGGCTGAAAGGTCCTGGCTGAAGTTCCATTCAAATTCTACAAAAAGGGGAGACAAAAACAATCAACATTAACATTTGCAAAGATGCTTTTCGGGCCTGTGTCCACCTGGCAGAAAAGGTGCTGCAAGTGTATCCTGTCTCTATGACAACAGTCTCAGTCACAATTTAAAAAAACAGAAGCTGGGACTCAGAAATCATGGCAAAAATATTTGAATTTGACAAAACAATCCCCAATAAAAGTCTCCTGGTTTTCTCATTTTCATCAAACTATCATGATTGAATCTGTGTTATAAACAAGGACTTCTTAAAAACACCACTTCCATCATCAGAAGGAAACTTAGACCATAGAAAATATAATAAAAAAGATCCGATGAGCATCAGCCTAGAACTGTTGCCTGGCACAAAAAAGGTGAATTAAGTCTCCGAACCAAACTGTGTTTCTCCTCAGGGAGGCTTTGATGTAGGTCCTCCGATGGGAAGTAACTGGTAGCTTATAAATCACACGTTCAAAGAGCTTCCCCAAACATTTGAACACTTCCTGACTAAGCTGGTTATTATGGACTGCTGGACGGCGGCGCTCTGGCAACTGTGGTGCATAATTTGTCTGAGTGCATCAACCCTGAAATAAAAGATGGGCTGAACCAGCAAATCATCCTGAGAAAAGAACCGACCTTTGGTATCAGAAGCTGAAGAAAATATGAATATTTCAGCGCGATTTTAAAGGACGTTCACTGAAACGCAATGAGGATATTACTCTCTACCAACATCTCAGAGATGATCTCATATTGTGTAGTCTACACTGAGTTAAAGGAAGTATATTTAGAAGAGAGCCTCTGCAGGAGGGTTAGTCACAGCCACTCCTGGTTTAGTTTGGGTCCAAGTGGGTAAGATGATGAAAAGCCTCCGCTCAGCATCTCTGCCCCCGCTAACAGCAGTCAGCCTCTTTGAATGACCTCTAATGAACTCATGTACGTCGGGGATTCATGCTCCTCATTCTGCTGACATCGTTACAATTCTTCTTGGACAATAAACACAAAAGAAAGAGCGCACACATGACTGTATTAAGTTGTTATTATTCACTCATTCACTGCTCATTTCACAGCAGTCAGAACAAAACTTGAATCTCTACTTTAAGTGCTTTTTAATCGGCAAAACTTTCCCCAATATTTGATGTGATATAAGCTGAGAGAAAGAAAACTGGTGATACGGAGTTTGATAAATGTGGACGGTTATACAGATTAGACAGAGTGTAACAACACATGCATTGTGCCCTGCAGCGTGGGAAACGAGGAAGGTTTTAAGCTTAACACATACTCGGAATAAATATGGAATATTTCAAGTAACATCCTGTGTCCTGCAAGACGCCCAAAATAATTAAAGTGCAATTTTAAATCGAGATAAATAACAAAAGTGTCACTGACGCAATGACTACACCCCACTGGCTGAGAGGAGAGCTAAATGAGGTTTTGCTCCAGGGGGATCTTCAATATGCAAAACTTCAAAAGTGAAACCCTGACTTAACTTTTTACAGGAGAAAAGTTACAGAACTGTGAGGAAAAGGAGTGTTATGCAGATTTTCTCCCACATTAAAATGAACATGAACACCAGGACACACACTTTGATGTTGGTCACTGAACACACACGCCAAGAGGCTCCCGTGGTGTATGGAAAGAGAGTGGTAGCAGTTTAACGAGACGAGTGCTGCCTGTGTGAGTGAGCGTCATTTAATCACCTCCTGGTTTCCTAGCAACATTGGGCTGGTTAAAAAACGCTCTGAAGTTTACGAGCTGTGTGGTAGACGCTCGTCTCTTAATCCTGTACATCACTACAAGAGAGACGGACACACCAAGACCAAATCCCTGCAGCCTGTTTCTGCCATCTGAGACAACAAAAGGTCAAGAGCTGCAAACACAAAAGTGTAATCTATGTTTCCAGTAACAGGAACAAAACCTCTTTTTATCTGCTTTGTTGATTCTCATCAAATATTAAAATCCAAATGTTACAGCCATCGAATGAAACCATGACAGGTTACCCACTAATGCTCAACTGTAAACGAGTAGAGGAAATCTTGAAGTCTTGTTGGTAGACACAAATGACTGTCCGTGGTGTTTGTTAGAGCTCAGTTCTCAGATTAGCGGTTCACATTTAAGTATACAGAGATTCCAGTTTGTGGCATGGATTGTTTCAGTGAGTATTAGAGTGCCGAAAAAGTTCCTTATTCCTCCGATTTCCATGCAAGAAAGATTGTTATTTTGGGGCTTTTTGTCTTTATTGGACTGGACAGAGGAGGGAGAAGGAAATCAGGGATGACATGCGGGAGAGGAGCCCACTTGAAGCCGGGCCACCCACTCGGAGGACTACAGCCTCCCTACATAACCCTGGGGTGCGCCCTGACCGCTAGGCCATCAGCGCCCCTTCCATGCAAATTTAATCAAACATTTGAAGCGTTGTCGTCGAGAAAAATGTCAATGTGTTTAGATTCGACTCACAATATTTCCCCTAGAGTTGTTTTAATTTGATGTCACGCTCGGGGTGAATATTAAATGATGTAATCTGACTCTGATGAATGTTACGGCTCTGTTCAAGGTTGCAAAACATGCAGAGCTGTAGCATACCTGTTGCATCATGTAGCTCTATTAAACTGCAATGTCAGCAATAGGAAGTGCGGTCTAATGCTTTGGTTAAAAAACGTCTAGGTGGAAACTGAGACTGATAACTTCTCAGTAGAAATCATTTAAAGCAACATGTTAACACAGATTATATTTTTTGGTTTAGGTACCAGATGACCGACTGGATTGGGTTTAAGAAAAGGAGCAGACTTTTACATTTAAGGCCTCTGAATATTTGGTGTGTGAATGTTTGTATCTCTGTAACTTTCATTGTTATCTTGTGAATTGAGCTGCTGTGATGCACACTGTCTACCAATAAGTTTAATCAACAAATCAGCAATCTTCACTTCTATCCCGATCCAGAAAAGTTCCCTGACTACATGTTAAAAATAAGTAGGAGAGCCGTTTGAGCTCAGTTTTGACGTGGATGCACTGTAACAACATCCTCTGTATAAGTCAGAAGCCTCTCCCCTAATGAGGGTCCTGCTGCTAACCTGAGCCTCGTTAAGCCCCCTGCCCCTCGTTAAGCCTGTATTGCCTGATTGGACGACCTCTACCACGGTTTCTTAATGAAGACCAGACGATGCTGTCTGTTACCTAATACATAGAATGATTCTACTCTAACTTTTCATCGACTCTGGTAGTTTGTTCAGAGACAGAGTGACACAGATTTGATTAAAAACAACATGATTTAGATCTGTGTCTGCAGTTGTACTTGATTGTAGGTTGTTGTTTTCCACTGTTTCATCAAAAATGATTCCCTTGATGTGCAGACTCGCTTGATTTATGAACAGCCGACAAAAGCCAGGTCTTAACATAACTGCAGGGAAAATAATCTACCAAAGAAAGGGAAAGAGAAAGGTCAGAAAAAATAGCTACGGTGGATTTTGTGTATTGTATATTTGCCTTTTACGATTGTGGTCTTTTTCATTTCTCCACCTCCTACGTCAACGTTTCCCCCAAAATGTGAAAACCATTTAAAGATGAGGGGGAAAAGTTCATTTTCAAACTGTAAAATAGCCGATCATACGTGCTAAACTCGAGCGACATCAAGCAAAAAAAAGTCTATCAGGACACAGTGGGGAATGAAAAAGGCGATATTGTCCTTATTAAAAGTCAGCGTATGCTTAAAAAAGTTGTTATTTTGAGGGAAAATAGTGGAATAAAAGGTTCAACAGGAGAACAACTGACAGCTTTTAGACAGATTGATTTATAATTTGTCATCCGTCTCAGATGAAAACATGATCTTCATACTTTCTCTTTGTTTGCTGTCGTTTAAAGACAGCCTGTCTGTGAGGCTGGTACGCTCAGGTCCTATCATGTAGCGCGTGGCTAATGACCACAGAGCTCCTGGCAGTCGTAGCGGGGCGCTGACAGAGGAGAGGCGGGAGCCTGTGTTTGATCTCAGTGGGACAGGAGGAGCATTAAAACAATACATGGAGCCACACAGCAGGAGACGTATAGTAAAACACACAGCTTCTCTTTGACTGGATACAGAACGCAGACCACAGGCCGAGAGAGTGAGCGAGAAAAGGAAAAGCTGAGGGGAAAGTATAAAAGTCACGGTCCAGTTTCTATAAGACGGAAATGTGTGTGACTAAAGATGACCTCAAAAGTCAAACAAATATCAAGAAATGTCGCTGAAATGAAGCCATGCAGTAGAAACTTTACAGGCTTACCATCACTGGACAATTACCAAATGAGAAAAACAAAACACAGAATGAAACCCTCCAAGAGAGAAACAGCCTGAGGGTTACTGTGTGTTTTGTTTTTTTTATAACTTGTTTGGATATTACCACCCAAGAACAATAAGAACCAGAACTTTCAGACATGCATCAAATATCCCTTAAAATGGTTTTCCAACATGTTAACATGCTTCCTTCCATGCTCCTTTTCAGCTGCTGGGACCCTCACCCACTCATTCATACAACATATCCAGAACTCTGCTGCTCGCCTTCTCACATACCCGCTGCAAAAGACGCATTCAGCTGTTTATTTCAAATGATCCTGAAGGATTTGAAGTGGTGCTTTTGATGCAGCTCAGGTCCCTGCAGAATATGATTAAGCTACTATCTCCAGTATTAAGTATGCGTTTGTGCTGTGTTGACTGTGTTTGAGTTAGTTCTCCATCGAAACTTTAGTTTTTGACTTGTTTTAATTACAAAAATCTTTTCACAGCTCTCAATGTTTTCTTTAAAAAGAACAAACTTTGATCACAGATTCCTAAACTCATGACAAACGTTGACGTCACAGGGTGGTTCGTGAACCTGAATCATCAAGACACAAAAATCTGCTCTTGCTTAATCAGGAAAGGCCGTCGAAAAGTGAAAAGAAACAAATACTTCCTAAGTTTTGAAAACCTAAAAACTGCTTTAATAGTCGGAAAACCCGGAGCACAAATGAACAAACTTGAAAGAGGACATCGATAAATGGAACAAAGACACTTTTCTGATCAGTAATCTGCTGTTCTTTGACTCGATAAAGAGTCGATGTTTGAGAAATTGTAAGAAAAGACAACGTTAAAAAGAAATAATTGACAGGAACGTTGAACCCTCTGGAGATCTTAGGATGAGGAAAACCTCTTCTTACAGCAGGAGACGAGTTAACTGTTTATCTCTTATTAAACAGGTTTATAGATGAAGATCATAAGCTACATGTAACTGTGAACAAACACTGAAATATAACGGTCCATTTGTGCGGCGCATGCAGTAATGTAAAGACGTCAAATCAGTGGAAAGTTTTCAGACTTTATGGAGCACGTTCAGCTTATGAATTGCATTTTGGATTAAGTTCAATATCATATCAACTGGAATAGATTCAAATACTTATATATGATGGATGAGCTGTGCGCGTGTGTGTGTGTGTGCGGCTGTGTGTGTTTTCCATATGTGAGCTTTAGATGACGGCTGCACAACTACAGGCAGAAATCATATACAAACTAAAAGATAGAGAATTTAAAATACACAGGGTGCCCGTAGCGTAGTGGTTAGTGCTTGTGTTTTGATTGATTATGGATTATTCTACAACCTCTGCAGCCTGATTTACTGCTGTGGGCTGAAGGAATCTACTGGAGCAAAACTTTTTAAATGCATCGCAGAAGAAATATGCCGAAGTTTAAAATACCCAGAATTGCCCTTTAATATGTCTTCTTAGTTTTGCTCAGTCGTTAAAATGTTCACCCTAGCTGAAGTGTCATGTTCACTTTTGATTGACTGGAGTGATTCTCTCTCTCTCTCTCTCTCTCTCATTTATTCAGCCTGACTTTATCGCATTTCCTCTAAGGAGCATAGCACGATCTAAATAAATATTGTGGTTTCAAAACAATTCACAAGCCAGACAGTTGTTTTTATATGTGAGCCAAACTTTGCTTTTTTTTTCCAGTGTGGTATTTTGGCATAACAGGTAATATGATATTCAAAGCAATAAAGTGGATTTAATTGGATTAAGGCTGAAGGAGACAGAGAGCGAGAGAGATAGAAAACAAGAGAGAAAGAAAAGAGAGAGGGAGAGATAACCTGACAGAGGAGAGAAAGAGAGTTTCCGCTGGCCTCGGCTAAAGCTGCAGACTCAAAACCATATGCTTGTCATAGCTTTGTGTGTGTGTGTGTGTGTGTGTGTGTGAGTCTGTGTGTGTTAGGTGGGCAGGGCTTAGCTGGAGGAAAAACTGCTCAGACTGGGAACCTGCTGCTCAGACAGCAGGATCCCCGGGACAAACGGAGATTGGACAGACAGACAGAGACAAATTGAGAGAGGCAGAGACACAGACAGAGAGGAAGACAGGAGGAGGTAATGAGGAAGAGAAAGACAAAGTGTTTTCATTTCACACTGCAGGAGGCACTTGCTCCTGCAGACTCCTCTTTGATACAACACAAAAAAGGCAACAGACACCTGAGGATGGCTCGCTTACAAACTGATTCATCCATCTCACTGGTGACTTAGCATTAGGCTGCAGGATATGATACAAATATGCAAATATTCTGATGAATGACCAAAATTCAATAGTGCATATTAGTTATAACTCACAGTTTTCTAGGTCTATGATTTTTCACTGTGTGCTTTGAGTTTCCATTATCCATTATCTTTACCGCTGGAGTTGATCCCAGCTGTCATTGAGTGAGAGGCGGGGTTACACCCTGGACCTGTCAATCACAGGGCTGACATATAGAGACAGACAACCAGCCACACTCACATTCACACCTACAGGCAATTCAGAGTCTCCAGTTAACCTAACAAGCATGTCTTTGGCCTGTGGGAGGAAGCCGGAGAGAACCCACACATGCACGGGGGAGAACATGCAGACTCCACACAGAGAGGCTCCTGTCAAACGGGGATTCAAACCAGGAACCTCCTTGCTGTGCTGCAACGTTAACCACCTGCACCACCGCGCAGCCTGCTGCTTTGAGGTTGCAAAAGACGATATTTGAACTTGTTTTGTGGCACAAAATCATCACAAAACGTCTCCATGGCAAACTGCATAAGCTCTTCAAAAGCCCTGGTTACTCTGAAAAAGAAAATGTGCAACAACATCTGTTTTTGAAGTAGATAAGAGACAGTCAGGGCAGAAATACAGAGCAACGAAATGCTTATTTTGGACTGAGAGAGCCAATCATCACACATAAAATGTGACAGACTGGATTACTTTGAACCAATCAGAGTTTATGGTAGTAGACAGACAAAAATGGGCTCCGACTGCAAGTCGAAAAACAGACAGAAAACTCAGCCAACCAGATATGGAAACAGACTAAACATCAGCAGCCTGTACATTTTTAAAGGAGGAATAAACTAAGACAGCAACATGAAGAGATGATCATAAAGCAAGTGGAAGCTTAATAATTACTTGGATGACCTACCGGATTCTTGGTCCATTTTGATTGACAGGGCTGGGCTCTGGGGGGCGGAGTCTTCGCTGAGGGAGTAGCTGTGCTCCGCTTGAATATCTGTGAGATTCAAACTTGTATTAGACCCGTCATAAACTTCACAGTGGTGTCTGCTGATGTCGATAAGCTGTGCGTCAGTTTTTCTGATACACTTGGTCTTAATTGCTCACATTTTGTATGTTTGTATAGAAACTTTAAACAGTCGATAAAGACTGAAAGCTCATCTGACTGCTGCAGCGGGAGACGTTTTGTACCTGTTGCCTGTCAACATTAGGGGGAAAATGACCACACAGACTGATCGAGCATTCAAAGAACAAACTGTTTCTGAACTGATTTGAAGCATGTCAAAATCGTTACAGAATTATGATCATATTCAAACTGGTAACAGAAAAATGACTTATTGAGGCTTTTCATTTATGTTTTTTATCCAGCAAGTGAATCATGTTTTTAAGACGTCCTTAAACATTAAAGTGAAAGTGTTTTCGTCTTCTTCCACAGTTGAAGTCTCTGTAGGAATGACAACACTACACAGATTTAAATAATCTGCAGTGCAATAGTTCAGAGCAGGAATAGCAGGCCCAACTTCGTCCAGCTCTTGAACTTTATCTTGGAGGTGACTGCCTGCTGCAGGCTCAGCCGGTTGTATCCTGAACCACCACCTGCTGTGTGTGCGGTGGAGGTCTGTGTGCGTTTCCTTCTGGTTTAAACTCGAGAGTGTTTTTAAAGACTTTGGCAGCAGAGAACCAGCTCTAAAACGGAGGAATTTGACCTAACCGGGGGAGCCAGAGTTGATGTCAGCGGTTGAAAAGTTACAACTTGATACAGTTGGTCTTCATGTTTTGGCTTTTTTCGGTTCAATCCAAATAACGGGATTTGGGGTCTCTTTTCCACCCAGACGTTGGCTTGAAGGTAAAGCTGCAGTGCTGGAGTTTATCCAAGGAAACCAGAAGGTCATTTAAACGGGACGATTAGTTGCAGAGTGGAAATCTTTGGTATTTTTTAGAGGCCTAGAAGTATTTCAACGCAAATCATCTTTAATAAAGAGGTTTGGCTTTGGAAAGTGTTCCACAGGCCGACTTCATTTACCTGCTGTGGGCTTTAAACTCTGGAGGAATTACATTTGAAAGCCTGAGCCTTGTGAAGTCTTACAGGGTGGTATTCATATTCTTTTGGTGCTACATACTCAATGATTTTAGAGAGAAGTACCTGGGCAGCTCTCCATGTCCTCGTCCATTTGTAGAAGTGAAGGTCTGTCTGCCAGCAGGGGGCGCTCTAATAGATGGTCGTCGAAGAAACTGCTGAATAATTCGCTGCTGAAGTCGTCCATCTGATCTCCAGAGAAAGGCTGCAGACACAGAGATGGTTAAATACATTTCAAGTCCATGCTCATTTGTTGTTATTGTTTTGCACGTTGTCTTTGCACTTTGTATTTTTAGATTATTACACTCTCTCTCTGTTTTACAAGACTTCTACACTGGATAATAATCTTCAGCAAATAATCAAAATGAAGAAGCTGAGACAATTTTGCATGAAGAATTATTAAAGTGAGTCATTTGATCAATTTGCTTTTTCACTTTGTTGGAAGAATTGTGAACACACTCAGCAGAAATCAGACTTGCATTCCCTTGAGCAAACGTCAGATCAAAATTAATGACTCATCTCGACTCAAACATCTCAGTTTTATTTCTTTTGCCTTGTTTTAATTCTACGTGGAAGCCAAAATTGCAAATTCAAACAATGCATTTACTTCCAAACATCAAACCATGTCTCGGAGTCAGGAACCAGACAGACAGTGTTGAGGGTATGAAAAATGAGGCAGTGTGGGGGGAAAAAAAAAGAAAGAGAATCATCGTCAGTCTGGATGAATGAGTCACCGAAACCCAAAGAGAGGATGTTCAGGAAGCCTGGGACTGCATGGTGCTCTCATTCACTGGTTTACACACACATACAGGTACACACACACACACACACAATATGAGTCAGACCACTCTTGAGTAAACTTGCACAAAGCGGTACAAATTCACACACACACAGACGGAGTGTTTTGGATGAATCAGCTGCAGCAGTCGACTCTGCTCTGAGGTTTCTTAGACAGACGCAGTGACAGAAATAACTTGATCTAATTAACAACAAAAATAAATTGATTTATATCTTTTCAATCCTGGAAATGTTCTTAAGCACTTTTTCCTATCACTGCCAGTGGTGTCAGAGCAGACTCAATCAGGCCCGGGGATCATAAAAACAGAGCTGATGGTAATTCTTCTCATTATCAACAGCAGGGGGAATAAAAGGCTGGCTCTGCAGTTTCTCTCGGCTCTGTGGAGAATTTTGGCTTCTTTCAGCTCATTGTTTTGGTTTTCTGTCCCACAAAATGTTTTCATCAAGAAACAGGCAGCTGGAACACAACACTATAATGTTCTGTTCGGGATTTATTAGGTCAAAAGTGCACAAAAAGAAGATTTTAGTGGCTGGTTTAATAAGGACACAGGGAGCACTCTTTTCTGTAGATCACTTGAAGGTAGAGATGCACTGGTTGGGAAAATCAGGGCCGACACAACGTTTGAAATAACAATTTAGCCGATTCCATGAATTATCTGAACCATGAGTTTTGTGATCCGCTGCACCCCTAGGAAAATAATGACAAAAGAATGCTTTAACTGTTGCAAATCTACAACCACACTTTATAATCTATAATAAAGTCAAAACTCCCAAGAATCAGGAATTCCACGGAGGATGACGGCCAATATCTTTAACGAGCTTTGCTAATGGCTTTGACCCTCAGCAGTATTCAAATTATGGCTCGGCATATGAGTAGGCGTTTAAATTTCAAGGATGACAAATTGAATCCATACTGCATGCAAAGTAAGTATTTCAAGTGCAGGTGCAGAATATAAGTCAAAGAAAAACCATGTGACCAGGGATGCAGCGTAGATCTCAGAGAGCGTCTGTATTTATGAATGTGATGAGGAGCTCAAATGTGTCTTTTGGGGAAACTCTCTAATGAAACCATATGGAGTAAGCAAACACACACGCACAGACACACACACAGACAAGGGGGGTAGACACACAGATGGTGGGTAAAATAACACATGACACATGAGGAACTGCTGATGTTTGGAAACTTCTATGACCGGTGTTCAGTTAAAGAAATATTAACAGCTGGCTTGGCGAAAATCGGAGGATTAAAGAAAGACACTTGAAATGTTAATTTGTTATGGTAGGAAGATGCAGAGGGAAGTTAGATCCTCCTCAAAAACACGGACGGTCTGAGTTCATATCAGTTTGTATGTGAGCAGAATCAGGCTCTGCAAGGTAGAGACGCTGCTCAACCAGGTGTGCATACACTCTAATCCTGCAGGGTCTTGTTCCCTCACTCACAGGTGAACACTCACTAATTCATGAAGATAGAGATGTATAATGCTGACAGAGGAGCCTTGTTCTCCTGCTGAGCTCAATGATGACACATATTCCCTTTAAATAACCCTGACACTGCCCCTTTAACTCCGCTCCATGAGGGAATATAGGTCACTTTTTAACCAGACTGCTCAAAAATAAACAGTAAAAGTTTCCCAGATGGAGAAATGTGGGTGAGAATGGTCTGATGCGGGGAGGGAGAGGAAGCAGTTTGACTAAAATTATCTCTAATAGCTGCATTAGAACAACAGGGTTAGCTTTTTATTTAGCTCCGTGACTGCAGTGCTGAACTTTTACTATAACAATCTAACTCTTTTAGTTTCAGGAGCTGCACTTTCAAGATGTCTGCTTCAATTTCCTCACCTGTTTCAGACACACACATAAGAAATCATTCAGTTGCATATTCTGAACATTTTTACATAGAAATCCTGCAGGCACTAAAACCTGGATCTGAATCACGGACTAAGTAGACAGCGCTCAACACCTCAAACTTTAAAATGCCTTTAAAAACTCAAGTGGGACACCTTCTCCACTCTCATATATGACAACATTTTAGTCACTGACAATATGATTTTGCAAAGACTGGATATCCTGGACTTGGATCATTTACAAAACTACGACTACACCCCTGCTGAAATGACTTCCCATCATGCTCCTGGTGGAAATGTACAAGAAGTAAAACAAACAATGATGCAGAAACAGAAGCATAAAAGCCACAGGTGCCTTTAAGTGTAAAGTGGTTTGTGTTACCTGCAGAGACTGAAACCTAAACGGGTTGTGTTTCCTCACTTTGTATTACTTAAAACTCAGAGTCCAAACAGCAAGTTAGCCTCCAACTATTGCATGACATTCAATCAGGAGTCGGTGACAGCAGCAGCAGCAGCCACCTCGAGTCAGCGATGGACAATCAAGTCATGTTTTCTTGGAGGTAAAATGACTCTTTCGGTCGATGGAGTCTGGTGGTATCAAAGAGTGTAAAGGCTGTTTCTGGTTTCAAAAAAAGCATCTTGGTCTATCTGTGCTTTCTGAAAGGTTGTCAGACACTCAGAATACAACAACAGGGCTCTTCAAAAATTGTAAAATGTCATAAAATAAATGACAGAAAAAGTAGAGGATAGCATGATGTTACCACATCAAAGTTTTGCTGTGGATTCACCAGCGTTTTATTTGTGCCACTCTTCGGCCGAGCTTTTTAAAAACAGCGATAAATATGTGAGTGGAAGACGTTATTGTTGTCATTAGGACAGGAAGCTCAAAGGTCTCAGAGACGTTTCCGTCCAGGAACATCTGCTGTCAGTGTGAGCAGGGAAACAGACGTCTGGACCTCTCATTACCTGACCCCTCTCTGCTGGGAAAAGAATCACATCAGGGAGGAAAAGCTGTGTTAAAAACCAGTTGACAGTTTTTACAGCTTATTTCAGAGGTGCTGTGTCATTAGGAAGGGGGGGTGTGGGGGCTGAGATGGAAACCACACAGAGAAAGAGCTGGGAAAGACAGACGCAGGGAGTCATTATAAACGTCTGTAATTAACAGAGTTCAGTCTCAACATCTCTCTCTATTCTCCGCTCAATTTGAAGCCTCACTGGTTCAGGTGAAACAACTAGAAGAAGACCAGATATAAGCCTTCAAATGAGATGTTTTTAGAGTCTGTGGTAGTGTTTTTTTTAACCAGAGGGGTGAAGACATCTGCTGGTAAAATGAGCCACCTCCTGCAGCGCAATCAGACAGCAAAATGAATCACATGCTTACAAATGGAAAGAATATTTACTCTTAATAAACTGGACCGGGAGCCAGACCCAAAAAACTGGGAACCTTTGTGAACTCTTCAGAACATCATGTTCAGGCCAAAGGGAATCACACAGAAACAATGTTCATGTAAACTTTGCATGTTTACATTTCAGTTAAAGTCCGATAAAGAAACTAAATCATGCAGAAAACCAAACCCAGTGAAATATTCAGCAGATTTATGCTGTGATTAAAAAAATCAGTTCATGTCACAAATGAGATTATATGACATGGCAAAGGAAGCGTTTGAACTAACTCTCTTAAGAGATCTCTAACACCATAAAAATTCTCCATCAAGTTTTTTAAATCATAACAGATCTGTAATGTAATATTTAGGGTTTGTGAACTTATCATCACTTATTTTAGGACAAAACAAAACATCTAGAGAATTATCTGAAAGGGTAAATGGAAAATATTTGTAATTGTATGATTCAGACGACCCTATAATGTAAAAACACTGTTTACTTTGAATATTTCAATCCCAAAGAAGTGATATACTCTCACTCTACTGGCAGACTTTTTCCACTTTTTTAAATGAGACATTAAAAGTCCATAAAAGAGTCCATGGCTGGAAAAATGATGGAGATTTTTTTACAGTGTACAGTTCGCAGAAACTACAATTGTGAGAGCACTGAAAACATCATGTCATTATGCTACAATCCTGGCTGCCACAGATAAGACAAATGGCAATGTTCTCTACTGTATTTGGCTTTATGTGGTGGTGTGTGGCTGCAGCGGTTTGGCTGCGTTAGTCTTCACTCGAGCTGCATGCGAGAGGCAGTCGTACTCGTGTGTGTGTGTGTGTGTGTAAGTGAGACAGAAGTGAACTCAGATTTAGTTCTCAGTAGAACAGAAGAAGAGGATTTTTCCTTCACACACACACATCGCTGCATGCCTGCTCACATTCCTTCTGGAGATGCAGCGGCCAACCAGCGGCGAGCATGCAAATGAGAGGGGTGTGTGTGTTTGAAGCTGGAGTACAGGGTCTGAATGGAGAGTAGAACAGAGCAGAGTAGAAAAGAAATGAATTTTATAGAATATGAACAGAGAACATACAAGAAGCAGCAGAACTAAAGACAAAAGAACACACATGCTTTCTGCATTTGGTTTAACTACAAACAGACTTGAATCAAACTAAAGCACACACACACACACACACACACACACACACACACACACACAGCGACTAATTCAAAACTTTTACCAACTGCTATGTCCTTACGTGACCTTATTGTGCATGTGCAAAACAAAAACAAAGAGTCAGTGATGCACAATATGGATTTCTTTTAAGCTGATACCAATAAGAAAGCCTACATTTTTCCATATTTTGAATTCCATTTTCAAAGTTGATTCAGACGTGAGTTTGAGAAAGATTCAAACGATGGACAGAAGAGATTCTTTTTGAGTCTCATGTCATGCTCCTTCTTTGCAAAAGCATTAGCAACAAGTGAGACAGTGTTATCCACTGCACAAAGTCGGGTTTAGGAAATGCTGAAGATACATTTTCAGATCATAGTTCAATGTTAAATGTTTACAGCAACCCATTCAAATTTAACAGGATTTGGGCAGAGCTAAGTTGGGGATTGCTAAACAGTGTGTAATTATGAAATGGAATAAAACCGACCAGTGTTACTTCAAGTAGCTGTTTCTCTATAAACTCTCTTAAAAAACACCCATAATTTACACTGTAATAACTGATAGTTCAGACAATAGATAGATCCAGGGCCATGCTCAAGCCGAGCATCCAATCAAAATTGGCAGCTGACACAATGAAACCACACAAAAGAGCATTGATATTATGATTTAAAACCCTCAAAGACCTGCAGCCAGGTATCTTTGTTTCTTATTTTTTTCCACCCTAGAGGTCGCTTCTTTTGTCAAAAAGTCTACTGGAAGAGCGAACCAAAATATGAGCAGGAACTGAGTGAATCCTTTCAGCACGGCTCCACAGAGAGCACGTCTTAGAGAAGCCAGCGCGCCCGTTTTTAACATGACATCATAAAAGACTGTAAGAAAGACTCTCCATTCTAGAAATTAAGTCTAAAGGCTTTTTCACAAAGTGTATATTGTGATGCACGAGAGAAACGCTCTCTTATTGGAGTGAGAGTCATTCACAGTGATGAGCAAACACGGACTCTGCAGCTCTTCTGGGGCTTTTTTTTTTTACTCTTTTAACTCCATGCATCACAATTTTACTGTGGTGGTGTCAGTCTCTCATTAAGAGTCATTTTTAGTCGTAGTCGTCACATAAATAGCTGTGAGTCATCATCAACACCTGCCCAGAGAATACAACTGCAAAGAGAAATCCAAATGTGGCATTCGTGTGCCACCCTGCAACAACGCTAACCAGCCATCCTTTCCCATGTCCTCCGTGGTGCAGCCCAGCCTAGTGGCTTCACGGCAGAACGGACATCTGTATTTAGCACAGAAACGGGGGGGGTTAAACCACGAGCAGACTTCTGGACTGACTCACTGACCGGAATAAAGATCTGCTTTAAAAAAATAAAAACACAAACAGAAAAGAGAGTGATATGATATGAAGAGTCCTTCCTGCTAACTCCCAGCATGCAGCAGTGTTCAACATGTTTCCATGAATTAAGAGGGCAAAGCTCGGTCAGGCATGGCATGCACTTGAGGGAAAGGCAGTGTCGTTTTTTTTTTGCTGGAGATTACAAAAAACAAGCTGCAGGCATGTCGTAATAATGAGAACTCTCATTACATTAGAGGATGATAAAAATCTGACACAGGCATAATCTGACATATTTCTGTGTTGCACTGCTTTTGCTGCGTCCTGTTCTTCAGTAAAAGCTTCTTATTTCCCTCTCCTGATATTAAAGATGTCACAGCTGCTACCGGAGATGATTGATGCTGCCGTTGCCCCCGGTAACCTGTGAATTTAGGACGAGGATATGAAGAGACGTTTAGAATCAACAGGTGGTTTTAAATTTGGAGGTAAGGAGATTTCCTGTTTCCGTACCTGGCTTCTATTAGGTTTCATGAGCAGATTTGAATGATGTAAAACAGACTTTTTTTGTGTGCAGCAGTTAGATAAAAGCTCTCGGATACAAACGGTCAATGCGACTTGCTCCCTCTGGGTAGGGAGGGAGTCTTTGCTTCAAGTGAAGGGGTTTAAGTATCTCTGAGGCCTTGTTCACGAGTGTGGGGAAAATGGATTGTGATATCGACAGGCGGATTTGGACAGCGTCAGCAGTGATGCAGGTGCTGAAGAGGGAGCTGAGCCAAAAAGCAAAGCTGTCGATTTACCAGTCGATTAACGTTCCAACCCTCACCTAGGATCATGAGCTTTGGGTAGAGAGACCAAAAGAATCAGATTGCTGAAATGAGTTTCCTCTGGAGGGCGTCTAGAGAACGGGTGAGGAGCTCAGACATCCAGAAGAATCTCAGTGTAGAAAGAATCGCAAAAGCAGCCAGTTGAGTTGATTCAGGCATCTCATCAGGACGCCTCCTGGTCACCTGCCTTTGGAGGTTTCTGGGCACGTCCAACTGGCAGGAGACCCCGGGGTAGACCCAGTACGCGCTGGAGGGGATTATATATCCCTTCTGGCCTGGAAACACCTTAGGGATGCCCAGGAGAGCTATAAAACACAGCTGGGGAGAGGGACGTCTGGGGCAACTTGCTTAAAGCCTGCTGCAGCAGCAACTCAGCCCCGCATAAGTGGAAGACAATGGTCCTAAAAAAACCTGAATACATTCATGGAAAATGCTTTTTTTGCAATCGATGCAAAAGATTCATAAAGCAAACGAAGAAGCTAAACGATTAAGATCTTTTCCTTTCCTCACCCTGCAAGTTACGCCCCCTTTTACAACGACGCACCATGCACACCAAGTGGTTTCAGAGGCTTTGACTGCTAGATATGGGTTTTTAATCATAGAAAAACAGAAAATATTGACATTTGAGAAAGTTCAAGGAGACATTTGTTAGTTTTTGAGTTAATTAAGATGCATATCTGAGTGTAATTTAACTTAATTAAGTCAATAAAGCAAACTGTAGACTGTGAGAACACCTCCAGTCACACACACTCTTCATTAAAAGTCAGGTGTGCCTCTGAGGACTCTAAACACCTGCCAGCTGAACACACACACACACACTCTCACACACACACTTAAAGTTAACCAGTAACTCGCCAGCTTGTGTCCCTGTTCCCAGTCTCACATATCGGTTTGCACACATCACAGTAAACACACACAGGCGCAGGTAGAGGTGAGAGCCCCGGATGTCAGTCAGGATATAACAACAAACACCGCCCTCCTGAGGTCCGGCTCCGGGCGGAACAGGCAGCAGGGGTGCGTTTGATTTCATGTGACAAATTGACTGCAAAACTTCATGCATGACAAATAACAGCACGACATTTGATTTTCTGAGGGAATGTGAAGCTGAAGAAACTCACCACGTTAGTGAGGAAATCTCCATCGCTGAGTTCCTCCAGGTCCAACAGGTTGGTTCCTCCGGGCGGGTACAGTTTATCCGCGGTTAAACTGTCTAAAATAGACTCCATCATGGTTTGTCTGTGTGCTCAGTTGTTAATTTAACGAAAATCTTAAACTCAACTCATTAAAACGGAGCACTTTGATTTCTACCGGCTGTCGTGGACACCGTTATTTTTACGTCCTTCACGTAAACCGCTGCTGCTGCTGCTGCTGCTGCTTCTTTTTTTACTGATAAACTTTTTAAAAAATGTCGAAAAATGTTTACATCCTTGTTGTTGGAGACGTTGTTATCCATCCAGCTGTGAGCGTCCTGTCTGCCTGCCCGCTGTTGAGCGTCTCTCTGCTCGCTAATGAATATTCAGTGAAGCCACGCCCCCCACGAAGCGTCAAATAACGACCACGCCCACACACAAAAAAAACGGAAAATAAAATCAGGTAAAACATTTTTTAACAATATAAATCAGAATTAAATTTGAAAAAGAGTTTTCTAATGGATCAAATAGATAAATATTCCTTTATTTATTTTGTTTTTTATAAATTGTGTAAAAGTTTTATAAATGTTTTTTTTATATTTTTTCTAGTTTGACAACCTCATCTTTTAAAAAAAAGATTTCAAAAAGTAATATTTTATAATACATGCTTGATTTCATGCAATATTTAAGAATAATTAAGATTTTTAAAAATGCAATTTGCAACTGACTTTTATGAGAAATAAAAATCAGGTAAAACATTTTTTAACGATTTAAATCAGAATCCAATTTGAAAAATAGTTTTCTAATGGATCAAATAGATAAATATTCCTTTATTTATTTTGTTTTTTTTATAAATTGTATACAAATTGTATAAATTTTTCTTTTCATTTTTTTTTTTCTAGTTTGACTGCGTCATCTTTTTAAAAAAGATTTAAAAAAATAATGTTTTATAATACATGCCGGATTTCATGCAATATTTAAGAATAATTAAGATTTTCAAAAATGCAATTTGCAACTGACTTTTATGAGAATCAGAAATACTTTTTTGGCTCATTAGAGTTAATCTTATACACAATAAAGCAGTAGGACATATCGAAAGTGTCCTCGCACAGGTGATGAAACACCTGTAGTTTTGCAGAAAGCCTTTAAGAGGCCATGTTGGGCTCATTAGTTGGACAGACCTTTTTCCATGTTTCAGCATGAGACTGAACTGAGCCCTCATCACTGTTTAAAGCTCCATTCGGGCTTTTCTTTCACTGACAAGTATAAATGTCAACCAAAAGGTCTCCCAGCAGGCACCCACCAGAGATTTAATCAGAGAGCTGAGGATGAAATACTGCCCCCTTCAGGCCAGATGTGTCACTGCAACCTGATCATAATCAAATACATATTGTTAAAAAAGGGTGATAACTTTATGTTTGTATGTGAAATAGTAGAGAAAAAGAAAGATGAGAGACTGTGACGACAACCTGATATATTGCTCGCAGCTTTATTACACACACACACACACACACACACACACACACTGCAGAACCAGAATGAAACAGATATTTCTTCCCTCTCTTACATGATTGCTCCGGCTCTCCTCTGTCTCCTCTCTCGGCTCATTTCTCCTCTGAGAAACAGAGACGGGGAGATAACAGGACTGAAAACACAGAGCAGCGAGAAAAACACAGTCTATTGTGCAGAAGATATCAGAGACTACACCTGTATGTGCTCCACCTCTGACCTGTTACATAATCTGGGTAGGTTTCAGAGAAAGAAGGCAGTTAAGAAGAGCATTTCCAGGCGTCATTGTTCCATGAAATATCTTTTAAAACTGGATTTCTAGGAAATTTTCTGCAAAAACTCAATTCTTAGCAAGTGTATTTGTCCAATTTAAGTCAAAAATACATCATTACACTAATTATAAGTCATACCCACCTGACAAGTCAAGATAATCATTTAATTCTAAGATATAAAAATCAAAGAACAAGGCCTGAGTTGCTGCCAACGAGCAAGCAAAATGTACTTGTTAAATGTCTTTAAATGAGATTCTACAGAAGCCCTAAGAGGACACGTATCACTATATTTAATTTAATTCTGTTTTTTCCGTGATAACGAGTACTTTTGGGTAGTTTTCTCAAGATGTCGAGTTATTTATTTTTAGGGCTTCAGTATGATACTAATAAAGATATTTTTGGAATTTCAAAAATGAGTTTTAAGAGTCCACAAAACAAACAGAGCACAGACTTTGGATAACAGCACAAACCGGTTGTTTTCATGGATTTGGTCTGTATTGTGTTTCAGGGTCGTTGCTGAGGATGTAGCTGAAGTTTGGAGACAGATATCCTTTATCAGACTGCATTGATCACCAACACATATTTGTTTGTCATGTTGCTGTTTGAATAAAAGTTACTGCCTGTTATGTAATGATCTCATGTTACAGCCTCATTTTCTGCCCCTTCCTTATCGCTCATCCCTCCTCTTTTCTCCGTCTCCTTTCTCCTTCTTCTTCTTCCAGATATCGGTTTACGGAGGTGTCAAACCTCAGGGGACAGGGTGTCTCTGTTTTCTCTCACACACAGGTATAGGTGACCTCCCTTTGACTACAGTCACTTTACTGACAGCAGTAATCCTCTCCCTCTCCTGGCTAATCCTCACTGAAAGTTAAATGTAGCCCTGGGAGTCCTCTATGTTGTTTACATCACTTTTCACAGCTCGATGTGATAATGTTTGTGTCGTTTGTAAAGGGAATTTGCTCAGTGCTTCATTCTCACATCAGACTTTCAGCAGAAAAAAAATCACATAGTCTGGTGGGAGAAAAGTCCAGATGAAGTGAAACATTCAGCTGTTTGCGTTCACACATACATGGAGATTTTCAGGAGTTTTGTGCCCGTGTGAACAAGGCTAGAGACTATTATTTAATCTGAGTCGCCCCCTGCTGGCCGTTAGAACAAATACAGGAACATCATTTTTCTGATATTCCACAACAAAGCTTGACACAGCACAAAATAACTTCAAATCCTTCATAGATATTTTCTAATATTTATAGACGAGTTGAGTTGAGTTGTACGCAGCCTTTGTTTGCTCGGCATGAATTTAACTCGATTTCCAAACTAAATTGAAACAGATGATCGCCTGCAGGAAGCAGAAACTGAATTATAAGCAGCAGAAATGAAGAGCAGAACACCTCCTCCTGCAGAACACACACACACACACACACACACACACACATTTTTAACATTTATGTATTCAAACAAAATAAAACATAACCTGTGAGACGCAAACCGATTAAATCTGTCTGAATGAAAAGGCTCTCCGATTGGCTGCTCGTCTCTTGATGCAGGATGTGACCGGCGGCTCTCTGATTGGCCGTCTCCAGCTATGATGCAGGTTGTGACTCATCCTCTATTCTGAGCCGAAGCGGGGACTCTTGGTTCTGACCTTTCGTCTCCGTGGTGACCGCTGTGATGTCACACGTTGGGTGCTGTCAACATCCTCCTCTTCTTCTCTGCACGTCAAATCCTATCAGGTGTGCTGTCATCACAAACCTCGGAGATAGAGACATCTAAGACTGTGTGTGTGTGTGTTTGTGTGTGTGTGTAACTCTGTTCTATGTCATCACTATCAGATGATTACTAATGTTCCTCTGAAAATCACCTTCTGTTTGTCTCTAACAGGCTTAATGTATTCACCGTGGCGTCCACACATGATGCTGAATATGAATTAACACTTTGCTTTTAATGACTCCCAAACAGTCTGCTAACATTAATGGTCTGAATAGACATTTTTTATGTCCAAACCAACCACCCTAAAGTCTCACCTAAAGGCCACAAGGATACAAAAAAGGGACAGAAAATAGGAGAATAAATCCAACACGGGGAACACGAGTTAAAGCAACAATATGTTGGAATTTGATTGGTGGGATTTGGCACCCACTGAAGGTCTCTGAGTGCAACTGCACTGTCGCAAGATACGCATACTGTTGTGCTGTTATCGCTTTTGATTGAAAGATATTAAAGTAAACGGGCGATCAGGGGAGTCGGGCAAGAGTCGCAAGATGTGGGTCTGTACTTTACAGATTTCAATCAATCAATCAATCAATCAATCAATCAGTATTTGGCCTCCTACTGGGCTTCTTGAGATGGTGAACTGGAGGCTTCACATGAGTAAACAGGCTACGTCCACTTCATATATAAAGATTGTTTCTGTTTGCTCCAACATAAATAAAGAGCAGAAAGATTCAGTGTTAAATTCTTTCAAATAAGGAAGAGGCTGTACAAAAACTCCCGGCCTGTTTTATTTTGTCTTTACACTCTGGTGTTAGACCAGAGATGTAAACACAGAATCAAAAACTCTCTGGCCATAAATAGTTTTGAAATTGTGTAAATCTTGATTCTTGGTGTGTACACTTTCATCCTCAGTGATTATACATGCAGCTCAGAGGGGGTTGGTGGTTTGCTGGTTGGTGGGTGGAGTCGTTGATGTATGATAAATTGATAGTGGGATTGACAGAGCGGTGGGATGGAGAGTAAACACGCTGACAATTTTCCCATAATGCCTTCACGAGTGGCTGCAGACAGAGCAGAGTGGATAAACTGTGCAGCCTGACTCACCTCGGCCTGCAGCTGAGATTTTATTCTGTCCTCTAACGGCTCCAGCAGACGAAGGAAAACGCCAAAAACGATCGATATTTTCCTTTTTCTGCTGCTTTTTCCTCCCTTCTCTCTCTCTTGCTGATCATAAAGTTCAGAAGTTCAGCTGAAGATAGATGTATGGAAAGAAACAAAGCATCTGAGCTGAATAAAGCCAAAACTGTAATGAAAGCCAGCCTCTCTATCTTTACACACAGTTACATCATCTACACACACACACACACACACACACACACACACACTCTTTAACTCTTTGACTCTCACGCTGACGGACTTTATGAGGTCATATTTCTGTGTTTCTTCAACAAACTACACATGAAAATGTTGGATAATAAAACAAATTTTGGAGCTGACTTTTACAACCACATGTGATCCTTAATCGACTTTTTCCAATAAAGGGGCTTTGGAAATAATAAAAAATGAATAATTCTTTATAAATATAACAGCCTGCACTCTTCAGGGAAGTCTTTCCACTTGGTTTTGGATCACGCTGATGAAGCAGTAAAATTCACTGTGTGTATCAAACGAGGGAATTACCACCCAGGGATGGATTCAAGGATAGAAGGATGGATGGATGGATGGTCTTCTTAATTAGAAAAAGTGTTTAATTCATTCTTTCCACACTAAACTGCACAGGAGAAAAGATTTATTTGCACATACGTATTTATTCATTTAAGTTCAAAATGTATTTTCACCCAACAGAGTCTTTATTTGTGTTTTTTATTGATTTTTTTGTTGATTTTTATTTCTCTTGCATGCCCTGATTGGTGGAACATTAAGCACTTTTATCAATTTTTTTTTAAATCATGTTTGAGTAGGTTTCTTCTCTCTAATGTTTTCCCGTTACATCTGTTGTGTAATTTGTGTATCATGGTGGATGTCTCTTATCTACAAATCTACCTACAGGTACTTAAAAAGTGACCTGATCCTGATCCTGATCCTTTTTTAAGGCCAAACAGTGGATTTAAAAAAATCCTGTGGGGCCGTTTTAAGTCCGAAACACCGAATTAAACGACTCTACCGCCCTCTAGTGGAGGATACAACACACAACAACTTAGGACAAACACTCCTGAATGTGACCTGATATAAATCACAGCTCCCACCTCCCACCTGTCAGACCTGCAGTTTAGGAAAAACATCCAAAATGATTCACTTGTTTTAATATTTTATAGTGCTGCAAATAAGCTATACTGTCATAAAGAACAGCCACAGTTTTAATGTACTAACAGGTATACTAACAGGTATACTAACAGGTGTTGGTTTTGTTCTCTTCGGTCACCACTGCATGGTTTTGGAGCGGGTCAGTTTCCGGGTCAGAGCGTGACGGACACTCAGCATGTAGGAGCGACGGTCCGGCAGGGGGCGCTGCTGATCCAACACCACCCTTTAAATCACAAGAAACACGAGCAGTCAGTTAGTAGATGTGTAAGCGCTCTACAATGTTTTGAATTTAGACTGCAGTACCCATTTTAACCACTAGGGTCAGAGTTACATATTGCTCTTTTAAAAACACAAACCTGATGAGCTGAAACACTGCAGCTTCCACGGCTAAAACTGCCTCTGCAACCGACAGCTCCCTGAAAGCACACCTGTACACACACACACACACACACACACACACACACACACACACACACACACACACACACACACACACACACACACACACACACACACACACACACACACACACACACACACACAGACACACACAGGAACAGTGGATGTTAATCATGCATTGGTGATAATCTTTTCTGCTCAGAGATTTCATGTCACTACATCCTCCTTGAACTTTATCCTACAAATCTCTGGAGAAACTTGTTTTTCCCCTGCAGGGTTCGGGGTCTAAATTACGATCAGGGGGCTTTTATTTTGAACCAACTGAAAAAGTACCTGCGACCGGATGCAGTACTGTTCAAAAGTACGGGAACTTGGATGTGAATTTGCAGCATTTTATTCCGATTGTTGTAAAGTCAAGCACAAAAGTGATGCGTGAAACAAGCCATCGTTCAGACACACAAGAGGTCTCATTTAGGAAATCTCTCTGAGAGTCTTGAGGCTGCAGGGGAACAAAAACATCAATTGACACTATTTTAAGATCCTCAGAAAGTAGTTCCTGTTCCTGAGACCAAAAGTTCTGTGAGGAAACAAAAAACTTTGACGCACTTCTTGTCCATAATGTTTCACATCGTCGTCTCTTATGAGGGACCTTTAAGAGACAAACAAACCTCAAATCTTTGGCCAGTCTCTGTCCTTCGTCTGTCGTCACCTGCCGGCCGATCTCCAAGTCTGCTTTATTGGCTACCAGCACTGTAGGAACAACTAACACACACACATGTGTGTTAGTCAGTGTGTGTAAAAACTACACAGATGTTACAGATGCAAACACTAGGTTCATGTTGAATGCATTGGGCTGGCTCAGAAGTTTAACCGCTTGCATGTTATAGTTAGATAAGAAAAGCAGAACTCCAGACGTCTACACAAATGTACACTTTTTAAAATGATTCCAGATGTTATTTTTTCTGCACTTAAGGAAAGAAAATCTCATTTGAATTTAATGATCTACAGAAAAAACTTGCACACAGACATTCTTTCTTGATTTTAGAGATATTTAAGGGAACATTTGTACATAATATCTGATGTCACATGCAGAGGAATCTTCTTAACAAGTTTCCTACCCAGACTCTTCTTGGTATTCTCGATGAGCTTCTTGAGTCGAGGCACCTCCAGGAAGCTGAGGCGCTGTGTGATGGAGTAAAGCAGCAGGAAACCGTCAGCCCAGCGGATGGACGACTCCAGAGACGCCGCACAGCTGTCCTGCAGAAAAATCAAGACACATTCAACCGCATGAGAAAATAACAAATAAAGGAGAATCTTAACATTTAGATACATAAGATGGTTATTCATTGATCACTTTGCAGGGTCATAATCAGTGATGTCAGAGGTCATACCTTACAAGCCGTGTCCAAGATCTCCAGATCCACAGATTCCTGATCCACCAAGCGACTGCATCTGTACGTCACCTCTGTGATTAAACACACAACATCACATGTTTCACCCTGACAGCCAAAGAAGCAAATGAGTGTAAGTGTTCCCCCGTCTCAATAATGTTTAATGATGTGAAGGTTCTTACCCTTTTTATGGTCGTATTCCCCGATGAAGCGCTTGGTAATGAAACGAACACACAGAGCTGCAGACACAAAACAGACACAAACAGAGCGAGCAGCCAGAAACACGTTAACTCTCTCTCTCTCTCTCTCTGTGTTACATACTGAGCATACTCATGTTTTTAACTTTGATTCACACCTCTGTGCCTGATCTAAATGTGTGAGACTTCTCAGAAATGTGATTTATCATTTTTTAAAAATCATCCAACATGTGCACATGGACACTTAGACTAAAAATCTGAGTCTGTGACGGTTGTAAACAACAAATTTGAGGGGACGTCACAGCCTGTTCCACTGCTGCAGGCTGAAGTCATCCACAGGAACATTTCATTTACTCACAAGATGCAAGCAAAAAAAAAAAACACAGAATGTCCCTTTAATAAAACTGCACCTGTCTGTTTTCCTTCACAGCTTCTGCAAACGTTATAAAGTCTTGTGCAGTATTTTAACATATTAATATGAAGAGATGCTGGGAACATTTTACACACTCAGACGACTTCAGAGCGGTCGGAGGTTTCCATATTTAGCAAATCCTCTTAAACCAGTGAGCAGAACTTGACCCTAAACTTAACCTCAAACTCCACATCGCTTCCCCGTGACGATGGTGTGACAGCAGCTTTAACTTCTGCTGCTGTTTTTCTCTGTGCATGCATGTTTCTGTGTTGTTGTTTACCTGTTTTCCCCGTGTTCTGAGCTCCCAGTATGAGGAGTTTAACTGGAACCATTTTAGTCTTCAGGTCCAGTTATGAGTCCACTTTGTGTCCCTGCATTAAACCCTGCAGACAGGAAGAGAGGAGGCACCTTTAAGATGCATTAAGATAATAAAATTAGGACTTTAAGATACTTTCAGCTTTGCAGAACAAACTTCATACTCATGTGAAAGTTTGCATACAGACCTGAATGTGGAGAGAAGTAGGGATAGGTCTCGGACACTGAGCAGACGGAGAGTGAAGAGGTGTGACTGTCTCCTCTCTTACTCTGTGTGTGTGTGTGTGTGTGTGTGTGTGTGTGTGTGTGTGTGTGTCTGTTCTCTCTCTCTCTCTCTTCAGGATCATTATATGACAGCAGCTATTTGTCTGGAGGAGCCGAGTCCACCTCCACACACTCACACCTCGGTCTGGATCTGCTCAGGACGCGTTTAAACACTTTACTCAGAGTCCTGAACTAAAGATGAAATGAGTGAGACACACACACACACACACACACACACACAGAGTCAACATGTTTCTGAAGAGGCAGCTGGGATCCACTCAGCCTCTTTGTGTCAGACATAATCAGATTAAAATACTTCACAGGATTCACCGATCGAGGACTAACCCAACTTTTTCCAGTCAATGATGTAAACGGGACAGAGCAACTCTTTGTCACTCCTTCTGGACGTGCCCAGAGAGGTGTGTGTGAGAAGGACATCGATCCAGAGCCACAGCTGTCAGTATTTGGAGTGGCACAGAGATCTCTGCCTTTAAGCTCGAGCTGCGCTAAAAGATATTCACACTCAGAGGCCATTAAAAACCCAAAACCCCATGGATCAAGAACCAGTCCCAAACTGGCAGGAGAGGGCTCTGAGGCTCTCGGTATTTGCTGAGCAGAACCACAAACACTACAGCTGCGAGGGGACGAGGGGGCGGGTCCACTGCAACATTACAGACTGCACAGCGGGGGGGGAGGCGATGGCTGTTACTGCTGCAGCTAAACATGAAACTGCATGGATCAGATAAAGTCCGGGACTCTAGTCTTGTGTGTGTGTGTCTCCTCCTCTTTTCTTCATGACCATCAAGACGTCTCATTTTGTTTAATTGGAAGCCCAACTGGTCCCCTCTGGATGGGCCGCTGGGTCGGTGATGTCATGGCACATTTAAAGCTGGAAAAGATTCACTACTCAAGGGTCAATCAACAAATTCTAGAAAGTGTGAGGCCTGTATTTATCTGCATTTCTGTGGGACTGTCTCCGGAGAGGAGGGGGAGGGGGGGGGGGGGGGGGGCGGGGGGGGTAAAACCAAGACGAGCAGAAAATCAAGAAAACTGAATAAATCAACGAGCAGTCAGAGAGGAGACGTTCGTAGGGTTTTATTCATAGAGCATACATTTCTCACCGTTATTCAACAAAGATCGCTCCAGCTGCAGGAGTGAAAACCATTTACAAGGACAACTTTAAATTAAGGAGCGACACCGCATTTGTTCACAGGTGTGTGTGTGTTATAGAAGAGGACAGAGGGTTTATTGTGCGTCCGTGTGTGTGTGTGTGTGTGTTGTTTCAGCGTTCAGCAGACTGACGGCTCGTCGACGGCGGCGGCTCCTTCTGTCACGGCTTTGACGCACTTAGCCATCGTCTGTGAAGCCCGGCTGATGGAGTCTGAGCGCAGGAGGAGATTATTTTAACATTCTTTTATTTCTGTCTTTTATTTTGAAACTGTCTTTTATTCTGAAAAATGAAAATCTCACCTGTCATGTAGAAGTCCTTCACAGAGAGTTGAGGGGGAACCAGAGGAGCAGCGAGGAGTTCCTGGTTCACAGCCTGAGAAAACACAGCGTCATCATTTTATTCCTTTAACCTTAAAACTCTTTCAGATCAAGTGCGTCCATGTTTTAGCGTGGTTACCATGGCGAGCTCGTTAGCCTGCTTGAAGTAGTTAGCCTCCTCCACGTCGTCGTAGCGGACCAGATTAGGAGAGACCTCCGCTAACCTGAAGCGCACGCCCTCCAGAGACTCGTACGGCAGCGTCACACCGGCCAGCTGCAAGAACACACACACTTTATAAAAAACTCATCACAAGAGGTAAAAACATCATGAACATCGTGTCAGCGGCGTCCTGCGTACCTCCGACACCGCTCTGATGACCTTCCAGTCCTCACGGGCCATCCCAGGCGCCGTGACGGCCACGCGGGTGTGCTGGCTGCGGCCCTCCGTGTTCACATACGTGGCGTTTTTCTCCGTGTACGCCGCGCTGGGCAGGATGATGTCGGCCATCGGTGCTCCGGCGTCTCCATGGTGACCTGGAGGAGTCATAGTCAGAGATCAGCGACTTTTCACCCCCCGCTTGTATTCTCATGGTTAGTGTCGAGTGTAAACGTGTGTGTGTGTGTCAGAGTGTGAGTGTGTGTGTGTGATTGTGTGTGTGTGTGTGTGTGTGTGTGTACCCTGGTAGATGATGAGGCTGTTTTTTGGCAGGTCGGCTCTCGTGATGCAGCCGGCGTCGGCTCCCAGAAGGAACAGGACTTTGGGAGGATTGTTCCGGATGGCGTCCACACCTGGCTTATAGCCCAGATCCAGCGCAGCCACCTGACTCGCCACTCTGCACACACACACACACACACACACACACACACACACACACACACACACTCTGTATTAGTCATAACCTTGTACGTCTACTCGACAGTTTCAGGAACCCTGAAAGTTTTCTAAAGGAGGTCAAAGGTTTAACCTCAAAAAGCCAGTGTCAGGGTTTACCTGTGCAGGACGTTAAGGACCTTCCAGCCGTCCTCCACGCCGCTGCTGGTTCTGGCGTTCTGAGCGATGGTGGAGACGGCGCTCATGATGGCGGCTCCGTCTTCTCTCTGCAGAGCGCTGCTGCCAACGAGCACGACCGGACGCTTCGCAGCTGACAGAGTCTGGAGTCGGGGAGAGGAAGAGAATATTAAACAAAAAAAAAAGGAAAATGATAAATCAAAGTCACATCGGGTTCAATCAAAGTGCGTCTCTTACCTGGCAGAAGGGGTGTGTGCCGTTAGCGAGCTCCGTCAGCACCGCCGTCTCCTCTCCCAGGTGGTCGTATGAGTAACTCAGGTCGACATCGTGACCGACCATCGCAACACGCAGCTCGTTGTGCAGCCAGCTGAGCGACGGAGAGGAGCAGGGGAGAAAGAAAGAACACTATAATCACAGAATCTCATCATGCATCACTCAAAGCTACGCTGCTTAGCTTCACATAAAGACTCAAATCTGCCAAACTCCACCTGTGAGCATCTGTGGTGCTGAGAAAACAGATCTCACATCTTGTGTATTAGATCAAATGAGTGGGTCACTTCACCTCTTGCGGATTCTTGCGTTGAAGAGCGGCGCCTCGTAGCGCGGGTTTGTTCCCACGAGCAGCAGCAGGTCGCAGTCCTCGATGCCGGCGATGCGAGAGTTCAGCAGGTAGTTAGAGCGCAGGTCAGTGCTGCAGAGAGAGACACACTGCATGACTTTAAGGAGCCTTTAAATGGAATATTCTTTTACTTTTTTCTTCATCAGTTCGTGGGCGTACCCTGCGCCCGACATGGGGAAGAGCTCCTCGGTGCAGAGGCTCTCCGAGTTGAGTCTGTTGAGGAGATCTTTGAGGGAGACCAGAGCTTCAGCGTCGGCCATTCCTCCTGCGATGGCTGCAACCTCAGAGCCCTGCACGCTCTGCAGCTACACACACACACACACACACACACACACAGTAACAGTCATGGTCAGAGACATCAATTCAAAAGCAATAAAAAGGAGCACACTATGCTGAGAAGATGGAGGAAGGAGCAGCGTTGTTGCAGAGCAGGAGGATGCAACAGAGGACTTTAAACGTGATATATATGTATATATATTATTTTTAAGTGATGGTCCACCACAAGGTGATCTATATTTAATGTATTCTTCATGTTATTGTCTTTTTATAAACATGCAAATTGGATCATTTTGTGAGTTTTTAAAGAGATATAACTCTCAGATACCGAGAAGTGAAACAAGTCACAGATACAGAAGCCAACGATCACTTACTGCTCCTGCAACACGAGTGAGAGCGTCCTCCCATGTTGTCGGGGTCAGCTGACCTGAATCGTCCTTCACCATTGGCTGCGTCAACCTCTGCCTCTTCAGACCGTCGTATGCAAACCTAACGCCAACAGAAAGGTGAGATTTCTATTTTTATCTGGATCAAGTTCAGAGTTTTAAAAGTCCTAAAGCTGTTGTCGTTTTTTTTTTTTTACCTGGTTTTGTCAGAGATCCATTCTTCGTTGACTTCTTCGTTAAGGCGGGGCATAACCCTCATCACCTCGCCGCCTCTCGTGCTCACGATGATGTTACTGCCGACAGCATCCAGGACATCGATGGACTCAGTTTTCCTACAAGAAAAAACAAATAAAAGATTTACGCTTTAGGAACAGCATGAACAAAATCAAGACACAAAATGAAAACGCTGAGGGTGAAACTCTCTCCCACCTCGTCTCCCATGGTCGAGCGGTGAAAGCGTACGGTTTGGAGGTGAGCGCTCCGACAGGACACACATCGATAACATTCCCTGAGAGTTCTGACATGAACATCTTCTCCACGTACGTCCCGATCTGCAGGTTGTTTCCTCGTCCTGTCGTTCCCAGGTCTTCAACACCGGCGATCTCACTGGCAAAACTAAAAAAAAAAGAGGCAAACGGTGAGTCATGAATGTGTTGAACGTGCTGTTCAAGACATTTCTGTTCTCTTAAGATTTATATTACCGGACGCAGCGCGTGCACTGGATGCAGCGGGTCATGATGGTCTTGATGAGCGGCCCGATGTTTTTGTCCTCCACCGCTCGCTTTCCTTCTGAGAAACGACTGCGGTCTGCACCGAACTGCATGGACTGATCCTAAAGCGGAGCAGACGGAGAGTTTACAGGGACACCTCACACCTGACACCTGTCCTGTCTTATCAAGGCAAAAATTGCCCAAAAAAACAACAGATAAGGATTGGACGCAGGTTGAAAGAAACGACTATACCGCTCTAACATCTGCTCAGTAGATTTTGTTTGGTTACCTGCAGGTCGCACTCTCCTCCCTGATCACAGATTGGACAGTCCAGAGGATGATTGGCCAACAAGAACTCCATCACTCCCTCTCTGAAGAGACAGAAACATCCGTTAACACAAGTTGATTCAAACGTTTGAATGACATTTGAATGTTTGGATGTGTACCTGGCTTTGCGAGTTTTCTCTGAGTTGGTGAGGATGTTCCAGCCCTTCATGACGGGCATGGCGCAGGCTGCTACAGGCTGAGGGACACATCACAGCACACACAGGTCAATAAGACGAGAGCGATGCTGCAACATTTAAAGGATTATTGACAGAGGCACTCTCTTACCTTTGGAGCTTTCTCGATCTCCACCAGACACATACGACAGTTTCCAGCCACAGAGAGGCGCTCGTGGTAGCAGAACCGGGGGATCTGGATTCCTACTTTCTCACAGGCCTGGAGAGGAAATCATTTCAGTTTAGAGCATCCAACAAGAAGAAGACGAGGACATCAAATCACCAACAACTTCCAAGGAAAACAAAATTCAAGTAAAGAAATGTGACCTGCAGCACAGTCGTCCCAGGCTCCACCTCCACTGGTTTCCCATCCACAAACACTTCCACCATGTTGCTGGCTGCACGCACCGAAGTACGCACTGCGAGTGGAGACATGAAGGTCAAACTTACTGCAATCAAACTTGATCCATAATAAAAGTTGGACATTATTTGTTCTGATAGGCGAGATGTCAGAAGGAATGGAGAATAGGAAGGATATTTCTGTTCACGTAAAGTGTGCTCGATGCCATAAACGTAAAAATTATTTAAACACCTTGAATGGAAACAAACAACTAAAGTAAAAGTGGGGAGATTTAATGTGGTTGGTTGCCTTGACCTTGACACACACAAATATGTGTACACACAAACACACACTTAGAGCTCTTACCAGTGTTACCAGCCATGCCACTCTTGGCAGCTCCGGCCAGAGCCCGGCTGACGGACGGCAGACGCAACATGACGCTGTGAGAAGAAAGAAACAGAAAGAGATGATAAAGGTATCTTACTATCTGATCATTAAGGAAACATGCTATGTTGAAGTGCTGGCTTCTCTGACAACAATGCAGCAGCCAGTATGTCCTCCTTCTAACTTTAGATTCTGCTCCTGAATGCTCTGGATTTGTTTGGACCAGAGAAGGTAGGCGCTTTTAAGGCGACCCCCCACACGGCCGTTTTGGACGCCCCTCGGTTTGTCAGATATGAGAGCAGTTATCAGGTCAACAGGTGTTGCAGTGATGGAAGCGGTCAAGAGAAGTGGTTCAGATAGAAGTGATTGTACCCGACCTAAAAAGCCTCTGCATGTTTCTAATAAGCTCCACGAGCAGAAACGTGCTCAAACTAGGATCAATATTGGAGATGCTTTTGAAAAATGGAGAGAGGTTAGAACACAGAAAGGTTTACAGACCCATGCAGAGCTGGATAAACACTGAAGCTTCAGAGTCCACCACATGGTGACCTGAGTGAGCATCCACTCTAGAGAAGAGGAGGGGGGGAGACAACTCTCTATAATGTTTAGAATTTAAACTGCAGTACCCATTTTAAGACTTGGTGATTATTATTATTATTTACCTTGTTTCATCAAAGTTCATAATTATGTAATTAATGCAAAGCTGCAGATTTTAAACATGCAAAATACATTTTATCAAGTTGTCACGTCACATAATAGAAGACGTGATCAAAACACCAGAAGAAGAACTTAAAATATGATGTAAATAATATAAATTATGCCGCTTTCTGTGATAAAAAACTTTGATTTTTAACTCTATTGTTTAGGTTGGCAGAAGATCAGTCTGTAGAGTCTTGGATTGGGAACTGGAGGGTCGCTGGTTCAAGTCCCAGCGAGGACCAAATCTGGTAATTGGTGCCCTTGAGCAAGGATTTGAATTAATTAATAATTTATTATATTAATTTATTAATTAATTGCATTAGATTTGTGTGAAAGGAGAATAATAAATAAATAAAAAAGCTTGATTTATGAATTTGAGTTGTCTCAAAATGATTATGTTGAGAGTCACTAATTAACTCTTATGAATAAACATTCATCAAAGTCTGATCTTTAAGTTTAGACACATTTTAATGTTTTTAATGAATCATAACATTGGTGTTTACTGGATTATTAACTGTCACTATTAACAACATGTGTTTTTATTAAAGTGTCCACAAACATTAAACTCTAAAGAGACTGTAAACATTAAAAAAAAGACTTTTATAAAGTGTTAGATTGATCAGAGACAGTTTTTAAACAGTGTGGAGAAGTAAACACCTTCAGGCTAACAGAGCTAGCTGACAGAGCTAACTCAAGGACACGGGCAGCGCTGTGTTGTAAGCGGGTAAAAAAGGTCAAACACTTCCTTTTCAGACTGTCTAACTTTATAATAACGTATCAATATAAAGGTGCGTAAATGCATAAAACGTTTCTGGTTCTTACCTTTTCGCTATTTGGCCTTCTTGACCAGAACAGCGGTGGTTAAAGACACTCCAGTCAGAGAGCTAATGAGTCGTTAGCGGAACTGGCTCGCTTCTTCTTCTACTCATTTTTTATTGGCGGTTGACAAACAACGAATTTTGCGCATTAGCGCCACCAACTGGTCTGGAGTGTGAATATAAATGTGTAATATGTCAAATAAAAAAATAATAATAATAACAACACTCTTTTCCATTTTTTAAAGTTACTTCAGCTGTGCAGTCTGTCTGTAAACCGGTCACCAATGTGTGTAATAGAAGAGAATAGATGTTTATTGCCATTTGCACAGGTACAGGACAGGACAGGTACTTTGGAATTCTTGTGCGTTTCTCCCTGAGTCAGCTTCTACAAAAAAAGTAAAAATATATATCTAAAATAGAATAGCATTATAAGAAAAAAAGAGTAGAAAAATACAAAAAAAAAGTAAAAATAAATAAAATAAAAATAACAACACTCTTCTCCATTTTTTAAAGTTACTTCAGCTGTGCAGTCTGTCTGTAAACCGGTCACCAATGTGTGCAATAGAATAGAATAGATCTAAGCTAAGCTGCAAAAAGGACAGATTTAAAAATACTTTTTTACCTACTGCAACTGCACTTTATAATGACTTCCCTTTAAGTAAGGACAGAAGACATTTCAACTTTTAAACTTTAGCCTGAGCTGCATATATCAAATATCAAATATCAAACTGTATTGTGGGCTCATGTTTTTATTGTATGGGTGGGATATGTATGTATATATGTGTTGTGTTGTGTTGTGTTGTGTGTTTGTATGTATGTGTTGTGTTGTGTGTTTGTATGTATATATGTGTTGTGTTGTGTTGTGTTGTGTGTTTGTTTGTATATATGTGTTGTGTTGTGTTGTGTTGTGTTGTGTTGTGTTGTGTTGTGTGTTTGTATGTATGTGTTGTGTTGTGTGTTTGTATGTATATATGTGTTGTGTTGTGTGTTTGTATGTATATATGTGTTGTGTTGTGTTGTGTTGTGTGTTTGTATGTATATATGTGTTGTGTTGTGTTGTGTTGTGTTGTGTTGTGTTGTGTGTTTGTATGTATGTGTTGTGTTGTGTGTTTGTATGTATATATGTGTTGTGTTGTGTGTTTGTATGTATATATGTGTTGTGTTGTGTTGTGTTGTGTTGTGTTGTGTGTTTGTATGTATATATGTGTTGTGTTGTGTTGTGTGTTTGTATGCTGGCTGCTGGAACACCTACATTTCCCTTCTGGGATGAATAAAGTATATCTTATCTTATCTTATTTATCATATTGCCATTTGCACAGGTACAGGACAGTACAGGTACTTTGGAATTATTGTGCGTTTCTCCCTGAGTCAGCTTCTACAAAAAAAAGTTAAAATTACCGGTATATATGAAATAGAATAGCATTATAAGAAAAAAGAGTAGAAAAGTACAAAAATAAGTAAAAATAAAAATAAATAAGTTGTAGTAACAGCTGAGTGATTTAAAATAAACTGTACAGAAGTTATAAATTGTATTAAAGCAAAGATATAACACAAAAAGAAAGAAAGAGGGGGACACTGAAATTAAAATATAAATAAGTTTTCTTTTTGCACTTATTAGCTCTTATTGCACCTGAGGTTATTGCACACAACACTATGGAAGCGTATTGCATTCATGTGGGCATTTGTTTTTGCCTGGTTTCTTGTTAAAACGACAAAAAGATCTCGTTATAACAAGAAAAAGATAGCTTACTTTTCAAAGATTAATCATTAAAATAACGCAAACTGAAACATTTTAAAAGATGCAGTATCGAACAGTATCAAGGTACTGAAATGTTTGACAACCTATATTAAATAGCCTAAATGAGACAGGCAAAAAAAACCTCCCTTCTATTCTTTTTACTGTCCGTGAGACTGACATTCATCAAAAAAATCATCGTAAACTACATTACCCATGATGCTCCCACTCTTACCGGAAGTAACTACGTGTTCACTTTCGCGACAGTTCAGGAAGCGTCTACGAACAGCTACAGATACAAACAAGAGTCGGTGCTTTCTCCTGTCCAGGAGTGCAGCAAAGCAGGTAAATATGATCCATAAAGAGTCATTTATTCACTTTAGATAATATTTAACACACAGGGATGTTTTTTAAACCGCCCTGCGTGTTTAAACAAAACTGTTTTGGCCTGATTATCTTTCTGTTGGTTAGCATCGAGCTAACAGCGTCGACTTTAAAGGAAATTAAACACATGACTGTTTGTTGGCTGTTAAATTGATATTGTGCAGAAATGATGGAGTTTAAATGTATTTTTTTTGTCTGAAAACATTTTAATAATTGTGTGTATCGTGACGTTATTTAGTTTATATCACTCATATGTTGGTAATAGCATCCCCTCTTTCTGTGTTGTCATAACTTATTAATATTTACAACAGATTAAACATTAAAATGATTAATTATTACACTTGACAACATCAGGGAGTGCAGCTTTGAGTCTGATTGGACACACAGGTGCTGACAGGAAGTGACCAGAGGCAAAGTACAACATCCACAGCTGTTCTTAGTTATAATCAGCATCAAAAACATCCTAAATCTCCTCATTTTCATCATCATTAAGGTCGTAGGTGTTCAGAAAGAGCTGGGTCTTTAGCTTTTTCTTAAAGGTGCAAAGGGACTCTGCAGATCGGGGTTGGTAGTTCGTTCCACCACCGGGGGGCGACAGAGGAGAAGAGTCTAGTCAGAGGCTTACGACCCTACAATTCACTTATCAGACGCTTTTATCCAAAGCGACGTACATCAGAGAGTAAGAACAACACAAGCAAGGATCTAGGAAAAAGGGAACAATGTGAGTAAGAGCAAACGATCAGCTTTGAGTCTGATTGGACACACAGGTGCTGACAGGAAGTGACCAGAGGCAAAGCACAACATTGAGGGCAGTTCTTGAGAGCTCTAATCAGTATAGAAACCATCTTATAAGTCATCGTTATCAAACAGAAACCATCGTCATTACCATCATCATCATCAATAATATGGAGACCATCATCATTAAGTTAGTAGGTATTCATGAAAGAGCTGGGTCTTTAGCTTTTTCTTAAAGGTGTAGGTGGAGTTTGGAAGTTCATTCCACCACCGGGGGGCGACAGAGGAGAGTCTAGTCAGTGGCCGTTTCTGAATATCCACAGTTCAGTAGTCAGTTCTTTTAAGTCGGAGTTTCAGTAGACTGAACCCTCGTGGTCATTGTTTGGGTCCACCTCAGTATACTGAACATTTCAGTATGGATACTAACTTACGGGTTTCATGCAGTATGGATCGGATGCGTGCTTTCAGGAAATGAATTGTATTTTAACTCCCACAATGCTGTGCGAAATTAAACGTAAATCGTCACGTCACGTCCGCCTCTAAATCAAAACAAACGAGCGTGGATTCATTCAATCAATTTTTAATCTAGAGTTAAAGTCCCGACTGAAATCACTACTTTAAATTAACAACAGAAAATAAAAAAAATGTCTGCATTATTATAAAACCTTTCCCCCTCTATTTAAATAATGATGTCACTATTTAAATAATGATTTCACTATTTAAATAATGATTTCACTATTTAAATGTGTCTTTATTGGTTTATTTTATATTCTGTATGTTACTCTCTTTCATTTGTACTTGTCTTTATGTACTGTATGTTATTTAGTTATTTAATCTTTTACTTGATTTACATTGTGATATTGTTTTTTGTTTACCTGACTGTATATGAGCATTACTCTTCTTGTATAAAGCTAAACAAAAAAACCAAAAAACAAATGGGTGGATGCGGCCGGTTCGGGAAATGTAAATGACGTCACTTCCTCACTGAATGAATCAGAAGAAGTAGGAACAATCTGCCTACTGTGCACGCCTACTGAATAGTAGGTACTAAACAGTAAACAGCAGATAGTAGGTACTAAACAATAAACAGCAGGTAGTAGGTACTAAACAGTAAACAGCAGGTAGTAGGTACTAAACAGTAAACAGTAAACAGTAAATAGTAGGTACTGACTAATGACAGATTGAGGAGGTACTTGGTAATTGGGATACAGCCAGAGACTTGGGACCCTGTTGTGAAGGTTGGATCAGAGCACCACTGATGTACCTTAAGTGATTCAACCCGTCCTCCTCTCCTTCATCCTGACTTCTTCGCCCTCCTGTCCTCTTTAAACGTGTTGTTTGATTCTGATCTTCAGCACCATGTTGCCGACCACCTCGCCGCACACAAACGGCGCCCTCGGTTCCAGGGACGCTGCACGTCACACGGCAGGTGCAAAGCGCTACAAGTACTTGCGGCGGATGCTCCACTTCAAACAGATGGATTTTGAATTTGCCATGTGGCAGATGCTTTACCTTTTCACGTCCCCGCAGAGAGTCTACAGAAACTTTCACTACAGGAAACAGACCAAGGATCAGTGGGCCAGAGACGACCCGGCTTTCTTGGTGCTGCTCAGCATCTGGCTCTGTGGTACGTCTGACACACTTCAGTCACAGCTGTATCTTTAGATTTATATGGATGTATTCCACGATAACTTCTCTCTTTCTGTATTCCTCTGCAGTGTCGACGATAGGCTTCGGTCTGGTTTTGGACATGGGGGTTCTGGAGACCCTGAAGCTGCTGCTGTGGGTCGTCTTTGTTGACTGTATAGGTGTAGGTCTTCTCATATCAACTCTTATGTGGTGAGTACAAAGTTTCCTCTCAAAATGATACAGAACGCCATCACGTTCTCTGACTGTTTGTGACATATTGATGTGTTTGTTGTGTTTCAGGGTCATCACCAACAAATACCTGCTGAAACATCCGAGCAGGAACTTTGACGTGGAGTGGGGCTACTCGTTCGATGTTCACCTCAACGCTTTCTACCCTCTTCTAGTCATCCTGCATTTCCTGCAGCTCTTCTTCATCAACCGTGAGTAAACTGTGACCCGACGACAGCCAAGCGGTTTGGATGCACCCCATGTACGGAGGCTGGAGTCCTCAGACCCGGGTCTGAATCCAACCTGTGGCTCCTTTCTTGCATGTCATTCTCTCTCTTTCTCTCTCTCCCTCTCTCTCTCTCTCTCTCTCTCTCTCTCTCTCTCTCTCTCTCTCTCTCTCGCTCTCTCGCTCTCTCGCTCTCTCGCTCTCTCGCTCTCTCTCTCGCTCTGTCTCTGTCTCTGTCTCTCTCCCTCTCTCTCTCTCTCTGTCTCTCTCTCTCTCTCTCCATCACTCTCTCTTTCTCCCTCTCTCTCTTTCTCTCTCTCTCTCTGTCTCTCTCTCTCTCTCTCCCTCTCTCTGTCTCTCTCTCTGTCTCTCCCTCTCTCTATGTTCTCTCTCTTCTCTCCCTCTGTCTCTCCCTCTCTCTCTCTCCCTCTGTCTCTCTGTCTCTCTCTCTCTCCCTCTGTCTCTCTCTCTCTCCCTCACTCTCTCTGTCTCTCTCTCTCTCCCTCTGTCTCTCTCTCTCCCTCTGTCTCTCCCTCTCTCTCTCTCCCTCTGTCTCTCTGTCTCTCTCCCCCCCTCTCTCTCTCCCCCTCTGTCTCTCTCTCTCTCTCTCTCTCTCTCTCCCTCTGTCTCTCTCTCTCCCTCCCTCTGTCTCTCTCTCTCTCTCTCCCTCCCTCTGTCTCTCTCTCCCTCCCTCTGTCTCTCTCTCTCTCTCTCTCCCTCCTCTGTCTCTCTCTCTCCCTCTCTGTCTCTGTCTCTCTCCTCTCTGTCTCTCTCTCTCTCCCTCCCTCTGTCTCTCTCTCTCTCCCTCCCTCTGTCTCTCTCCTCTCTCTCCCTCCCTCTGTCCCTCTCTCTCTGTCTCTCTCTCCCTCTGTCTGTCTGTCTCTCTCTCTCTCCCTCTGTCTGTCTCTCTCTCTCTCCCTCTGTCTCTCTCTCTCTGTCTCTCTCTCTCTCTCTCCCTCTGTCTCTCTCTCTCTCTCTCTGTCTCTCTCCTCCCTCTGTCTCTCTCTCTCCCTCTCCCTCTGTCTCTGTCTCTCTCTCTCTCTCTCTCTCCCTCTGTCCTGTCTCTACAATAAATAAATGAAAAGCCTTTACTAAACATAGTGATGGATCTTGTTTGGAGTCAGACTGTTTCTTTGTGTGTTTCAGACATCGTGGTGATAAACTACGATTGGTTTCCAGGATATTTCATCGGGAACACTTTCTGGTTGATCTCCATCAGTTATTATCTTTACATCACGTTCTTAGGGTACAACGGTGAGTCACGCTCAAACGCAGAAACCTTCACATTGCTCTGATCGGTCTCCCTGCTTTCTGTCTGATGTTTTGTTTGTGTGTCTTTGCTTCTCAGCTCTGCCGTTCCTGAACAACACGGTGGTGCTGCTGTACCCGTTCGCTCTGCTCGCCCTCCTCTACGTCCTCTCACTCTCTCTGGGCTGGAACTTCACCAAAGGTCTCTGCTGGTTCTACAAGTTCAGAGTCCAGTAGAACCAGTTGGTCTCTGAGCTCGGACACTCTTTCTCCAGCTGGTGAAGACGACTCGGACTATTTGACTCTTTGATTTTCTGTTTGGCTCTTTTGTTGAGCCGGGAGTGAATGATGTGCTCGGACTAGAAACAGCAGGATGGATGATTAACGGCTTTTATCGTTGTTCTTTTTGTATGATTTGTAAATAGTGTCTCGGCAGGTTTGTGATGTAAACAACAACGATTGTTTCTTTAAAAAAAACAAAAACAAAGATGTCATCCTGCTCATTGGGGAGAAAAAATGAAAGTGGAAGAACGTGTGATGCAAACTTTATTTCTCCTTTTCTTTTTTCTTAAAGTGTACATTCCAGAGCACTTTCAATAAAAGGTTTTATTAACTTAAGCCGCCTCACTTTGAAGCCCTGGAGAGTCTTGGAAATGTTTTTAGAGCACTTAGGATTTTCCTTGTAGTGACATGTTGACGCCTCACAGTGGCGCTGTTGCTTAACAATACTGTGCAGTTGCAATATGGAAACGCAAAACACGTCGCTGCTTTCAAATTCTCCGAGTTGCACACTCTTTAATATGCCAGAAAATGAACTCCTGAGACAAGAGATGACGGGTAAGTGGACGAATCATTTTTTTATATTTGTGGTTTAGAGTACAAAAAAAAAAAAACATGCAACATTGATACTTAAAGAAAAATCAAAGCCGCATTTGCAAGAAATCAATTAACGTAGGTCCCGCCTCTCTCAGGGCAATCACAGTTTAGGACTTTTGGGATGGCCAGTCAGATTTCTAGGGGGCCACACGCCACTGAGCCACAGCTGCCCCAAGATGTTTCATGAGATCAAAAACAGAAAAAGTTGAATTTGATCGAGATAATAAAAGAATTGCTAATGAGAAATATTATGTTTTATTTCCTTACACAAAAATATTTTCCACAGAGCATCACCAATCCCCCTCAGATAATAAATGTGTAACCAAAGACTCAAGAAATACACAAAAACAGATATTAAATGGTCCTGTAGAGTTTATTTCATTCTTTAATCTGCTACGTCCTGCATGTTTCAAAGATTTCTATTCGAGTGCATTCATCAACAGTTTCTTGAACTTCCCCTTGTCGGCTGTCTTCATGATGATGGCCTTGTGTTTCTTCTTCAGCAGGTCCAACTGGTCCAGCACCATCATGCCTCGGGTGTGTTTCCCCTCCAGCTCCACCGTCACTGCAACCTGAAGAGTGAACGCACAGAGTCTTTAAACTCAAATTTATACACTTACATACTGGGCCCCTGATTGGACCAATTATTGCCGTGAAAGCTCCCTCGACTTGTTCCAACTTGAGGGAGCCTTAATGTGTAAGATGGGGGATTATGTGTCAGGTTATTCTGACATGTTGAAGCACATGCACAAATCAAAGTGTAAAGAAGGAGCTGCAGATCAGGAGCCTTTAAGATCCTGTGAACATTTGAATGCAGCGTTTGTTTCATGAAGGAGTATCCTGCATCCCTTCGGCAAAACTAAGTCTGAGTTTAATATGTAAAGGTATGAATGCAGTCTGTTTACCTCTTCACTCTCCGTCACCACAGAGTCGTCAATCGCTGCAGCTAAGGCGTAACAGTCACAGCTGTTGAACCCAAACACGCCCACCATCTCCTTCTGAAACTCCTCAGTCTTCAGCATCTGCAGGTCGACAAGCCAACAAACATGAGACGTTTAAAATATATACTGCAGTTTAAATTCTAAACATTACAGAGATCTCTCCCCCCCTCCTCTCTAGAGTGGATGCTCACTCAGGTCACCATGTGGTGGACTCTGAAGCTTCAGTGTTTATCCAGCTCTGCATGGGTCTGTAAACCTTTCTGTGTTCTAACCTCTCTCCATTTTTCAAAAGCATCTCCAATATTGATCCTAGTTTGAGCACGTTTCTGCTCGTGGAGCTTATTAGAAACATGCAGAGGCTTTTTAGGTCGGGTACAATCACTTCTATCTGAACCACTTCTCTTGACCGCTTCCATCACTGCAACACCTGTTGACCTGATAACTGCTCTCATATCTGACAAACCTGAACACTGATCGTACCTTCCTGGTGTGAGCGTAAATCTTCTGCATGAAGCGAGCCTTGTCCGTGTCCTGGGAGAGCCATTTGTCACAGAAAGACTGAGGGAGGAAAATGCAAAGATGGAAAGTAAGTGAGGCAGCCTCCTTTTTTTAAATTTCAGTAACATGTGTATGGAAGCCCTGAGGTGCATCCAATACATCATACACACCCAGGACAGGCTGTTTCTGCAGCTGAACTCCCAGGCGGCGATGTAGGTGGGGCAGGTGAAGCGGTCGAGCACGATGAACGCCGCTTCAGGATCGGCGACAAAGTTAAACTCTCCGCAGATTGTGGTGTTACCTCTGGCTGCAAAAACACACACACACGACAAACATGTTTATTCAGCGTTCACTCTAAATCAGTGCGGCCGACATGTAGTGACGTAAACAACAACAAGCTCACAATCGGTGTTTCCTCCCATGATGTAGAGCGATTTCACTTTCTTAGGGAAGGAGGAGTCCAGTTGTGCAGCGACAGCCAGGTTAGTGAGGGGCGCCGTGGCAACGATACTCACCTGCAAACAAAGAAACACAAAAACAGGCTTAACAAACGCCCATGACCCATTATGTGATATTTGATTCGTCAACCTTTTCCAGCAAAACCTGTTTTGTTTTTTTTGCAATATGATACATATATACATAAGCTGTAAACCCCTCCTTAGAACAGGCTGTTTCTGTGTCTGTAGCTTTAAACATGTAAATGAGCTGTGTTTGACCACGCCCCCTCTCTGGAAGGGCTTGGTTGTCTCAGGCTTTCTCGCTCCATGTCCTATTGGGTTTCCCACCCACCTCTCCAGGGTTTTCTTTCACAATCTCGATCATGGCCTTTACAGCATTCCTCTTATTCAGCAGGTCCAGGCCCGGAGCGTCGGGATCCGGGGCGTCCCCCAGCCCGTCCTTTCCATGAAAATCTCCGGCGTTACGTTTTATAGCCAGCACGGGCTCAGCACAGCCGCGGTACACCGGGATCTGTGTGCAAGTATGAACACAAAGTGATTCCACAGACACGCACACCTCATTACATGCAAGTTCTGGCACGATGATCCACTCACATCCAGTCTGCCGCACACCTTCAGCACCCGCAACGTGTTCTTCAGGACGTTTTGCAAAGGGGTGTTCCCATGGCAGCAGGTGATGCCCAAAATCTCAACATTAGGGGCGGCGAGGGCCATCATGATCGCCATGGCGTCGTCCACCCCTGTGTCCACGTCGAGGATCAACTTCTTCATCTTATGAGGGAGGAAGAAAAGGAGATTATGTTAAAAATAGATTTTATTTTATTTTAACCGTAACCTGCACTTGTTCTACTGTCCAGCAGGGGGCGACTCAAACGTATAGAAGTCTATAGCAATGTGTTCCTGCTCCTCAGTTGATTTATTCCCTCCTATTCCTATCGAGTTTACAGTCTCAGATTTCAGTTTCAAATCTTCTTCAATATGATGATCATTTAGTAAATTCTGGTCCCATTCAGAGTCGAACAGAGTGGAAAGCAGGGGAGGAGTTAAGCTGCAGCTTCCTGTGATTGGCCTGAAATTGCTGCGACAGCGATAAAGTGCAGTGTGTTCAAAGTATCGAACATTTCTTTAACCTGGCGTTGTACATGTGTTTGATCCATTCCCCATATGTTAACATGAACAAGGTGGATCTGCAGCCAGTTAGCAGAGGGAGCGCCATACCTTTTGGCTTCACTTTTGCAGGGCGTTCACGTCGTCTATCTCTTCATACAGTCTGTTATTCCAAGTCACAAGATGATAAAAACATCTTCTGTGCGTTTAGCTGTAGTCAAGTCACATTCCTTATGGGGTAATAAAATCAATCCTCATGCAGTCCTTACAAAACACAAAAGAGTCCACAGAGTGTAAAGAAAGAGAGCAGAGAGTGAACTTATCTGTCAGGAGTGTGCAGCAACAAGTCAGACGCTCTTCTGATGATTCTGCCGCTCTCTCTTTCTCAACACAACGGTGGATGTGGGAATGTAGCACAGCAGGAAAAACACACCCTTCTTCAGATCCTGCAAGCCTAAAGACAGCTGCAAATAATAAAACTTTAATATGGATACAGCCTATAGCACTCACTGGAATTGCACAGCAGCGTCTAGACTCCTCCTCCTGCTAGAACCGGTTTAGATATCTAAAAGACAGAAAATGCACATGCAGGGTAGATAGTAAAGTTGACTTGTGTATTTTGTGGTTTGCGGTGAATCCTCTTCAAGCTGAGAGTTACAGGAAACTTGGGGTATTAACAATCAAAGTTAAGGGAAATCTTTGTAAGAGCTGTTATTTATAGGACGTGTTTAACAAATTCACCAATTTTAAAGAAGATATCCTTTATTAAGCCCACTTTAGGGTACACTGTTATTGAGACATACTACACACTCTAATGGAGAGATGTAAGAGTGAAGGGGATGCACATAGAAGAGTCTGTGCTTTATTAAGTTTACCATAAAACTTCTATCCAAGTTTAAGGCCCAGTCTCTTTTTCTGGCCTGATGTTGCTGCACCTTTTATCAAACAAAAGCAGCTCCAAATTAGATGCCCTGTGCAGTTAGTGTTGACTAGTTTGCAGATCAAAGTAAACTTATAAGAAAGGTTTCTCCCTCTGTCCCACAAAGCAGAAAGACAGCAGGATGGTTTGGAAGGTAAAGTCAAAATGCATCGAGACGCTTTGCAGAATATCACAATATGTAAAAAACAATGAGTCAAAAAGAGAAAAAGTTTATTGTTTTTATTCACGGTTGAAGTTCTAATTCTTCAGTTTCTTCACTTCAAGATTTTTTTAGTCTGAGAAGAAAATACAAATATTCTGTGACTTTTGTTTTTGCAGCAGGAACACAAAATGTGGCACATTCTCAAAGAAACAGAGCAAAAAATAACTTGAGTTCATTTCATGTTTTCATGTTTCATGTTTCAATTGTCTCGGTGTCTCCTTTTTTTCACCCAGAATCCTTTCCTCCTTGTTCCTCGGGTCTGGGCTTGGCGAGGTTGGCCCGGACTCGAGCCTGGTCCACGGCGTCCAGCAGGTTTTTGGAGTCGAGGGCGAGCGTGTGAGCGGCCGCCAGCATCTGCCTCTGACACTCCTCCTTCAGAGATGTGATGGAATTCTGCTGCGCCAGACGCATCTTACTGATCAGCTCGCCCAAGTCTTTGTTCAGGAGTTTCTTAGTGCCCTCGATCTGAGACACAGACGACATCCTGCAGTTAATATCAACGCATAACAAGATTTTTATGATGTAAATACAAGAGGAGCAGAGAGGCCTACCTCGGTGGTGACGGAGCTGTGCAGAGACGGCAGGATCTCATCCACACTCTGAATCAGGCTCTTCAGAGTGATGCCCAACGCCTGACGGAGGACGAGGGAGCGAGGGAAGGAGATGGAGGAAGGAGGATGAGAGGAGGTTAAAGGGTAAGCATTGAGAGGTGAAAGGAATATTAAAATACAAACAGTAACAAATATAAGAGTCAATCCTGAGACTGTCTTCTCAGTCCCTTTCCAGCAAGAGCAACTGTCTCCATGCATTTCCATGCAGAGAAACAGGCTGTATGAAACAATAGAACATGAAAAACACATTTTAAAAGATCAAAACAAACCTCCTGCAAAAAGAAGAAACTGATGAATTAACTGCAAAGATTCTGCAAATACAATAAACTGAGAAAAATCACAAACCCAGGTCGTTTGGACAGTTTCAGGGTTTTGTCCACACAACACTGCCCTCTACTGGTCATTGCTAGTAATGACACATACAGTCTGAGGCTCCTGATCTTCTCAGGCCTCATTCACATCGCCAGTCCAGTTTAATTCAACTTTTGTCGAGCTTGTCATGAATGATTTAAGAAAGTTTCAAGATTGCACAAAAAAGTATTTTTGCAAATAAGATTCAGTGATCTGAAATGGAACTCCAACTCAGTTTCTACGGTTTGATTTAAATTCAGACGCTCGATGACGATGGATTTCAGATGAATTCAACGATATCTGCACAGTGGCGATCATTTTGAAGGGTGAGATGACAAATCAGTATTTCTCCTGCTTACGCCTGAGTAAGCATCTTCATGTAATGTCTGGAAACACAATTTCGATCTGTTCTCTTAGAAATAAAGGTGCAGACTGTCCGTCGTAAAGATCTGATCTGAGAGCAGAAATCTAAATTTCCTGAAGTCCATCATGACCTCCTGCAGAAGAACTTCATTCTATGAGCAGGTTGCTTTCCAATTTACCAAGTTCATCGTTTCTTCCCTTCAATAATATTTGAGCAGACGTACTTTGACGGCGTTCAGATACTCTGAGGCGGGCAGCGTGTTGACGTCATTCTTCAGCTGCACCACCTGTTTGACCATCGCCATGACGCCGGTGTAGACTTGATCACCTGAGCGGTCCAACTCAGCTGTGGGCCGCTGCTACACAAACACAACAAACAAACACGTTGTTTTCTACATTTAAGCTTTCAATATGTCTGCTGTGAAAAAATATTTTTTATTCTATTATTTTTTTCTCTTGGTAAAAAGTGACAGATCTGAGTTTATTGTGAGTACAGGTGTGTTTATGTTTACCTGTGTTACTGCAGGAGGCCCTGGAGGCTTCTCTGGAGGACCTGATGGAGACAGAAAAAGATTGTTTTTGTTCACCACACATTTTCTGCACATTTTGTATGACAGTCAGAAGACTTCAAAAGCACTAATAGTGCTAATAGCACTAAGTTAATCTAAGGTGAAACAATGCATCATGAATATTATTCATATTTACATATTCTTAATATTTTAAATGTATGTTTGTCTTGAAACATGTGATTTCTGCTTCTGTGTGTGTGTCTGAATTCTTTCAGTTAATTCAGCGTCTTTCTGCTAAGTGTGAAGTGAGTCTGGTTTGTGTTTTTTGCAAATCTTATTTTATTTCCTGTGTTTCCTGCAGTGGCGCTTTGTCCGGCTGAATGTGGCCTCTCAAGGCGGACTCACCGTTTTCTGGGCTTTTCTCTGGAGGCTGCAAACAACGAAGAAAGAGAAGCACAAGACAAGACGACTTTAAACTCATCACTTTAAAAGAGAAGGTAAGAGCAGATTTCCTGCTAACTGGATGTCCTGCTGAGGGCGTCTCATGGAGGCAAAACAAACGTTTGGAGCATGAAATTCTTGCAAAATAGTTTTTAAATGTTAATCAAGCTGCTTTAACCCATTCACATTCAATGATCGTTGCATATCTGAGCACGTCTTGACCCATAATCATGCTGTGTGAAGCACATAGACGATGACTAGGCGTCAGTTTTGATTGCCTCAGGTCTTGTGTGGTGGTCGCTTATGGAGGCCTCTTTTGCATTTCTAGTGGCTTTAACTTTATCTGAACTTCTCAGATATGACCCACAGGGCATTAACAGGTGTGTCGCTGCCCCCTAGTGGCCAAAAAGTGCAACATTCAGCTTTAATTCACCTACAAATGTTTACAAAAACACAAGATGATAAAAGTCACCTTGACGTGTGAATCCACTCGCACGGCAGGATCCTGCAGGAAAACAAAAGAACGATTCAGTTAGTGCAGCCTTGATATACATGTTATTGAGTTTTTATGATAAATGTGAGATATCTTAAGCACGAAGAGACGTTTAATTATTATTTATTATTATTATTATTATTATTATTATTATTATTAAGTGACATCACCTGTAAGGAACATGTCATGTTCTTGGAGAATCTTATGTTTTAGATTCCTAGTTTGGATGTTTTTGTTTCTGTTGTCGTTTCCTCACACTTTTCTCTGTGTGTTGGTGTGTGTTTGTCGGCTTGTGTGTGTGTGTGTGTTTGTCGGCTTGTGTGTGTGTGTGTGTGTGTGTGTGTGTGTGTGTTTGTCGGCTTGTGTGTGTGTGTGTGCTCTCACCAGTTGCCTCTCCTCTTCTTCCAGCCACTGGTTGTCCTTCAGCATCTCTCGTCTTTGTCTCTGTAATGTGTCCTGCACGATTTCTCTCTCTCTCTCCCACACCGGCCTGTTATCCTGCTGTTTTCCCTACATACACACACACACACACACACACTTTCTCTTTGTGCATGTTTTGCAGCTTATATATATTTATATTTTGCATGTTAGAGTTGATTATTCTGCAGTCGAGTAATTCCACTTCCACGTTGTTGCCTCATCATTTTTTTTCATCAAGTTTTTTTTTACACTCTGACCTAAAACAGTTTAACAGCAGCTGACACAACCAGATGACTCAACCACAAACTCAAAGTCATGCTTTGAGTAATTTTAGAGTTTCAGTCATTGCCTGAAATATTGACACAGACTGCAATGTGTGTGCCTCGGGTTTTTAAAGCCTTTTTCAGTATTTGATTTGCTTTCAGTGTTTGTGGATCATCTCAGCAAACAGCTCAGCTTTACCTAAATTTAGTGACTTTATAAACCACACCACCTTGATCGTGTGTGTGAAGGTGGATACCTGTGTGTGCGTGGCCCGAGGGAGTGTGTTTCCTTGTATTCTGGATGGCTGGTGAGAAGAAAAAGAGAGAGAGTGTTATTCATTTCAACTCTCAGGGCGGCCACTTTTCTATCAGTTTCAAGTTTTCAATATCCATAGTTTCACTTTTATGCACTTTACGTCCGATGTAAAATGTGTGTGTGTGTGTGTGTGTGTGTGTGTGTGTGTGTGTGTGTGGTACCTTTGGAGGAGGCTCTGTTTGGTTGGGTTCAAACCCCGGTGGGATGGAGCGTGCGCTTTCCCTCTTCCCATCCGCCTCCTGCTCCACCTCCATCCTGTGTATCTCACTGTGACACACACTCCAGTTATACTCACGTCTCTATAAGATAATATGTATGTGTGTGTGTGTGTGTGTGTGTGTGTGTGTGTGTGTGTGTGTGTGTGTACACGCGCACCTGAGGGAGCAGGCGAGCCGGCTGAAGCTGGGCCGCCCGGGGGGTTCGTAAGCCCAGCAGCGGCTGAGCAGCGAGTACACGACGGGCGGGCAGCGCTGCGGTTTGGGGAGTCGAACCCCCGACTCGAGCTGGTTAATCACCTGACCGTTCTCCAA